AAACTGTAAGGGAAAGTATCCAATTTCTGGCTTCTTACATGCGTCTTTGCCTAGTATCCTAGGAGATGTGATCAGCCTGTTTGAGACTAAGTCCATGTCGACTCAGCACTGCAAGTTGTGACAGTGGTGGATCACTGAGATGGCGTAGGGACTGTAGTGTGATGCAGTATTTTGTATTAAGGTGCTGTGGCACAGTTCCTTGCTACTTCACACAATCTGATTAACCAGCCTTGTTATCAGAATTTGTGCAGAGACAGACATAGCTATTCCATAGATAAGAATCCTTTGAACATGGAATGTCTTTGTGGGTGTGCATTCCTTGAACCCTTCAGCTGTTACAACATCTGCCAGAAAATTCTTAGACTGCCAGCTAATAACTTCCTAAGACTGCAGAAACAGATATAATTTGGCAGGATACGTTAATGGGTCTCGTGTGTCTCTGTGGTCTAAAGAGTCATTGGTCAATGCAAGATGAAGTAAATCCTGCCTCCTGGTCCTCTTTATAGGCCTTGATTTAGTTTTATTTTGGGAACACACCAACAAATTGCATGCACCATTCCTCAAATTTTGGTGGACAAAAAATTCCAAGATACACACTATGTGATATTTCAATATGCATGACTGATAGGCCAAGCTGTATTGCAGCAACGCTCTACTTTCAATATGTGATCATCAGAGAATAATGTGCACACTCACTCACTGTGCCCCAGACATACGAACATAAACCCAGAAAACACATAGAAATGTCACCTGAAAAATCAGGCACCAGCCATGAGTTATCTCATGAAGACTTTACAAGATTCCAACACACACAAACACAAGAAATAAGAGCAGAAGGAGCCTATTTAACCATTTGCTAACTTTACAGAATATTAGTTGAAAATCCTGGGTTATCTGACTCTGATTTATCCAACCTATTAATTCCATCTGCAAAAATCTCCAATAGGTTTATCAAACATAGTCTTCTTTTGGTAAAATCAGGGTAACTTTGTCTTATCAATGATGTTTTTTAAAATTAATGTTAGGCTTCCTTAATAATAAATTCCAGTGTTTTCCCAACAACTGAATGATTTGGCTTGTCACTCCCCACTTTCTCTTGAATAGCAGTGTTACATTTGCTAATGTCCAGGCTACCGGAACTATTCCAAAATCTGGGTAACTTTGAAAAACGTTGTCATATTTCTGCAGGACACTCTGTTAGAACCCAAGGATGTCGGTCATTGGGTCTTGGGGATTTGTCGGATTTTAGTCCCTGACATTTCTCCAATATATTTCCCCTGCTCACATTATTTTTCCCTAATTTCCTCACTCTTTCTAGCCTCCAGGTTACCTCAATATCTGGTATGCAACTTGTATTTTGCACTATGAAGACAGACACAAAATATTTGTTCAATGTCTTCATTATTTTGTCACTCCCTATAATAATTTCTCATGTTTCTGCTTCTAAGATACCAATCTTTACATTAGCTTCTTTCTTCCTTTCTACTTGCAAAAACCCCTACAATCAGGGTGCCATGGTGGCTCAGTGGTTAGCACTGTTGTCTCAGAGTGCCAGGGACCTGGGGTCGATTTCAGTCTCGGGCAACTGTCTGTGTAGAGTTTGCACATTCTCCCCGTGTCTGCGTGGGTTCTCTCCAGGTCTTCTGGTTTCCTCGTCCAGTCCAACCATGTGCAGGTTAGTGGATTGGCCATGCTAGATTGCCCCATTGTGTCCAGGGATGTGTAGGTTAGGTGGGTAGGCCATGGGAAATGCAGGATTGCAGGGATGGGGTGGGAGGGTCAGTGTGGACTTGATTGGCCAAATCCCCTGCTTACACACTGTAGAGATTCTATGAATCTGTATATTTAGTTTATATTTATACATATCTATCTTGCTTTCATGTTCTATTTTGTCCTTTAATCCTCAAATTTTAAAACATCTATCAATCTCAGTTCTAGAATTAACAATTAGTTTAGTGTCAATTGCAAATTACAGAAGAGAGTTTCAAACTTCTACCACTCTTTGACAAAATTTCTCTTATTTTCACTCCTGTTAGCTATTTTAGATTACATACCCCCAAATCTGTATTCCTAATTAATGGAAATCATTTTTGCCAATCTATTCTAACTCTTGCTTTTGCTTTTAATATGTTAAAACCTTTGATCAAATGATCTCTCAACCTTCCAAATTCCAAGAATCCAGAGAATACAACCCTCACTTTATATATTTCCTCCTACTAGCTTAACCTGAAGTAACCTGGTAAATCCTGTAAAAATCCTTTACCCTAGTAAAATTCTAACTGGACTAGACAAGACAGGGAGGATGTACCTGATGACCAGGGAGTGCAGAACCAGGGATCACAGTTTGATTTATTTATAGTCCCAAGTATCTTGTTACAAAAATACAGTGAAAAGTGGTGTACAGTATTGCCACTCTCTGGGGCCATGTTAAAACACAGAAAAACAAACCAACACACAGAATATAAATGAAGAAATAAAGTGTCCAGTTTCACTGTCCTTCTTGTTAAGTGCTCTGTCATGGGCCATGGGCCTGGTGGCCAGACATGAGCCCCCTTCACCGCTGGAACGAAAGTTTGCCACTCTTTGGTGCCGTCTCACCTCCACTGATGCCCTCGCTGGACTCACCAGTGCAAATGCCACTGGGTATCGCACCAGCCCAAACTCAACTCCGCTGCCTCCATGAGTCAGACCCACCTCACTGATGCAGCTGCTGCCGAGGCCAGTGGGACTGGTACTGGGCCCAAACTCACCTTCCCCGTCATCATGAGTTTGTGCTGCTGGGTCCCACTCGAGTCCGCGCTGCTGTGCCCACTCGCCACCAATACCATCGCTGGACCGAGCTTCTCATCAAAAGGTAAGTAAAACAAAATAGAACATAAAAATAACGAAAGAAGAGAGAGAAAAAAAGAAAAGAAATGAAAAGAAAGATGGAGCTCAGATGCCCTATTTCACCACCATCTTACCACAAGTTTAATGATAGGGAGTAGGCTATTTAAGACTGAGATGAGGAGAAATTTCTTCACCCATAGAGTGGTGAGCTTGTGGAATTCTCTGCCACAGAATGCTGTTGAGCCCAAAACATTGAATGTTTTCAAGAAGGAGTTAGATATAATTCTTCAAACTAAAGGGATCAAAGGGAATGAGGAGTAAACAGGAACAGGGTAATGAGTTGATGATCATCCATAATCATATTGAATAGTCATGAAGGCTTGAAGTACTGAATGGTCTACAACTGCTCCTACATCCTATGGTTCTGTGTCTATGCTACACTCCCTTCAAGGTCAATATATCCTTTGAGGTATGGCACCCAGTCTGCTAGGATAACTCCAGATGTGGTCTGAGCACGGCTTTGTACAACTGAACCTCAAGAATCTTTCCTGAACTAAGTCTATAAGTTGCATCCATAGCTGTTGATTTGAGGAATTTCAGAACTCCTCTTTCCATGGGTATTTGAGAAATAACTACTTTTTTCAGATTTTCCAGATTTCACTTTACATTTTTACCTCGAGCACAGATTCTAATTTAAGAAAAAAGCTAGCTAAGAGCATCTTCTGAATTGTTTCTGATTGTCTGGCCAAGACCATTTCCTTCTCTTGATAGATTATGGACGAGATAAAGGCTGGGATACAGTATGCCTTTCAAACCACAAGCAGCATGACTCTGGCAATCAGTGGCTCTGGCCACGCAGCGATGGAAGCAGCCTTTTTTAATGTGGTGGAACCAGGGGACGTGGTGCTGATTGGAATTCATGGTGTGTGGGGTGAAAGGGCAGCGGACATCGCTGAGCGAATCGGTGCGTATTTTACACTTTCCTTACTTCACAATATTGTGAGCATTCGACTTTTATTTTTCTCCTTCCTTAAAGAAAAGTGGTCTCATTTAATCACCAATGCAACTGGGGAGGTGATGGCCTAGTTGTATTATTGCTGGACTGTTAATCCAGAGACCCAGATAATGTTCTGGGGACCTGGGTTCGAATCCCACCATGGCAGATGGTGGAATTTGAATTCAATAAATATTTAGAATTAAGAGTCTAACGATGACCATGAATCCATTGTCGATTGTTGGAAAATCCCATCTGGTTCACTATTGTCCTTTAGGGAAGGAAACTGCCATCCTTACCCAGTCTAGCCTACATGTGACTCCAGACCCACAGCAATGTGGTTGACTCTTACTGCCGTTTGGGCAATTAGGGATGGGCAATAAATGCTGCCTGGCCAGCAACACCCTCATCCTTTGAATGAATAAAGAAAATAAAACTGGATAGTTTCTCAACAGTCTACTGACAAGCGATGGATTTTAATGTAGCAAAAATATTAAGACAATTATCAATTAATTCCTTCCACCTTTCTGGAACTTTTGTGTCAAGCATCATTTCTGACTGTAAGGACTGACTCCATCAGTGCATCTAAAGTTAGCAACAAGAATGAACAGACAGGGTGGACACCTGATACTGGCAACAGGTTAACCTTAAAGCTGTGGCTATACACATGAAACCAGGATATGGGTAAAGAATTGGCTGAGGTGTAAAAAGCCTCAGGCATTATCAGGTTAGTGGAGCAACGTCCAATTGAGATCGAAGAACTGAACACAATATTGGGATCACTGGCTTGCTATCTGACAGGAAATGCAAGCAGGTCAAATTTTGAAATGGTACTGAAATAATGTGAAAGCAGAGGAAGCAGCAGCTCAACCTCCTTCGCAATGACTTAATCAGAACAAGTAAGTGGGCAGCTAAATTATTTCAATGGAAATAGAATGCATTTACTCTGCGAGCACTCTTAAAGTAAGGATGGATGAGTTGAAAGAGACCTTGGAACCTTAGAAGCTTCTAATGATCAATTAGCCCAAGTAACTTTGCAGGGGAGCTAGTAGTGTAGTGGCAATGTCATGAATAGTCCAAAACCCCACTCCAGTGTTCTGGAGACATGGGTTCAAATTGCACAACAGCGCATGGTGAAATTTGAATTCAATAAAATCTGGAATTATAAAAACCCATGTCACTCATGTTAGGGAGGAAGTCTTCCATCCTTACCTGGTCTGGTCTACGTGTGACCTCAACCCCCACACCAATGTGGTTGACTCCTAATTGAAAAGGAAATCACTCAATTGTATCAAACTGGGGGAGAAAAAAAACAGATCTAGGCTTTGGAAACAACAAGTGAAATTTTCCAGGGCAATTAGGGATGTACAATAAATGTTGGCCTAGCAGCACTCCCTACATCCCACGAATGAATTTAAAAATTAATGCAAAAAACAAATTCGAGTTGTACAGAACTTTAGTTCAGCCATATGTTGAAGATCAGCCATGATTTCATTGAATGGAGAGCAGACTTGATGGGCTGACTGGCCTACTCTGACTCCTATATTTTATGATGTTAAACTCTCTGCTGTGGACTCCCTGATAGGCACTCTCTTTCTCTCTCCCTGGTGTTCTCAAGGTTTTCCTGTGTCCTGCTCTCTCTCTCTCTTTCTCTTTTTCCCCTGCCCTGATTTGGGTCATACTATCCATCTCTCATTCTGAATCCAGATCCTGCTCTATCTCTGCCACTCTGATCTGGGTGTCTTCAAGGTTTTCCTCCTCAATAATAACATACGGCAGGCTCATGCTCCAGCCTGATCACACTCCACATTGCAATCAATGATCTGTTCAATGTTAACAGACAAATACAACAGAATCAAAAGAGGACTTGCTGTAGTCATGAAAGTTTCAGTCAAAGGATAACTCTTCTGATGTTCAATAGTTAAGAATCAGATCTCTTATTGTCCTCTAAGTTATTCACTGGATAAGCTCACAATCTGATACTGTGCTGTGTACCAAAGAGGCCATCTGCACTCTGACTATCATTGAAATCAGACAGCAATTAAGACTTTCAAGTTTCAAAAATTTCGAGATTTCTGCTAACTTAATGGTAACCAGAACATTATGTTGAGATAGATCTAGATGAAGACTTGACACCACAGTGATGTTGTCCTGTAACTTTGTATTTAAGGTGGCGATGTCAGGAGATTTGTAAAACCTCCAGGGGAAATGTTCACCTTGCAAGAAATCGAGCAGGTTTGTCTTAGCACATCTATGTGCACATGTGCGTGTCTGAGTTTATGCCTCTTCTCCCTCCTTCAATTACTGGAAACTTAGTGACTGTCACAAAAGTAGTGACTCCAGTCATCTAAATAATAAACTGTCATTTGTAAGGTTTGGAATAAATTGAGATCTTCACTGATTTGCTTTCTGATTCAAAGTCAGTGCAGCTGGGGGGAGGGAGCTGAATAGACATGCTATAGCACTACCTACTAGCCAATGTGTTAGTGCACCCAGTCCAAAGGAGCAAAGTCGTAGAGTCATAGAGTCCAAAGGATCATCAGCTTACATTGTTTGGCCTTAACTTAGAATTTCTAGTTCATCAAAACTCTTGTATTTTGATGTGACAAGCTAGTTTATTAATCCCTCCCCCACCCTCATCACTCAACAACGTTGGACAAATTAAGAGAATCTTGGATGGTCTTTCACCCTCATTTGTGGTTGCTCAGTGGTTAGCACTGCTAGCGCATAGCACCGGGAACCCGTTTTGATTCCACCCTTGGGTGCTTGTCTTTGTGGGTTTCTTTCGGGTGCTCTGGTTTCCTCCTAATGTCCAAAGGTATGGAGGTTAGGTGGATTGGCCATGCTAAATTGACTATGGTATCCAGGGATGTGCGGACTAGGTGGGTTAGCCATTGGAAACGCAGGGATGGAGTGGGTCTGGGTGGGCTGCTCTTTGGAGGGTTGGTATGGACTTGATGGACTGAATGGCCTGCTTCCACATTGTCTGGATTCTATGATGACCTCAAATTTGATTCATGAATCAGTAGCCACTGTTTAAAAAGAAATGGGTTGTCCAACTAAGAGAGATGACAAGACTTTTTTTTCTCCCAAATGTTTGAGGGTTTTAGGAACTCTTTTCTTCACAAGGCAGTGGAAGCAGACTCTCTTTTTAAGGCAGAGGTGATTAGATTTTTGGGCAGCAAGATGGTAAAAGATTATCAGGAGTGAGGGTGGGGTAGGTGGCAATGTGGAGTTGAGGTTACAATCTGATTGGCCATGATCTTATGAAATGGTGGAACAGGTTGGAGAACCCAAATGATCCACTTTTGTTCCTAACTTGCATGCCCGTATGAGTAGAGAGATTTTAGCATTTCATTATGCATGGTTTATTGAAGATCATAGACACAGAGATGTGCCAGTGCACTCCTGGAGCCACTCATATATTTTCACCTCTGGGATCCTTTTGCAGTGTGATTGCTCCATATTGGCCGAGAGTCTCTTGGTTCAAGTCTCCACTAATGGCTTACGCCTGACATTTGCCCTGCCAATTTGCTTCAGGAATGACAGAAGGTGCATTATTGGGGAAGTCATTATAATAATTTCTAACAACAGAGTATGAAGCGGCTTTGTGATGTTGGCAAGATCAATGACCGATGGGTATTCATGAGACTGATACCGTTTGCTCCCCGGGTGAAAATTCTGTTTCTGATTCATGGTGACCCAGCGCTACATCTGGGTATGCTTTATCATATTCAACTTCACAAAGTGGTTGGTAGACATAGGCAACTCCAGTAGCCGTGTGTGGGACTGAAAGTTGGCCTGTTTTTGCTCTCGGCCATGAGCAGGTGTCATGTAAAAGATTTGCTTTGTTTCACAGGCTCTGGTGCAGCACAAGCCCATTTTGTTTTTCATCACGCACGGTGAGTCCTCCTCGGGCGTAGTTCAAGAAATGGATGGGATAGGACCTCTCTGTCATAAGTGAGTATGCGTCAATCACTCAAGGCAGGCTGAACTTCACCCGGAGTTGGTGACCTATAACCTTCAATTTTTGTTGATCCCTACCATTAATATTAAGAAGCCACAAGACTGCTAGTAGTTACTGAAAATAAATCCTACCTGTTCTTATCTTTTCCCTGCAATAGCTGCTCCACCAAACCCCTCTCCAAAGCTTCCTTGCAAAGTCCATATGCGTTTTCATCTCCCCATCTCGCCTAACTTGAGACTCTCAGAACTTTACCTCACTTTTCTCTTCTTTAACATCTAGATCAGAAATGTTGATCAAGATCCTCTCTCTGCTGCACCATTATGTTTTATGATAGTTATTTTTATTAAGACAGCTCAGTTTTTCAAAGTTCCAATCAGACGTCCGGTCTTAATGTCCCAGTTGTGTACCTCAAAACCTAATGCTGCAGTCTGCCATCTCATCAGATTCTGCTACTTCCTTTCCACTTTCCAGCTTCATTGGAAATTTACTTCTGTATATTCAATAGCTTTTTTTTAAACTTTCTAATGATTCCCCTTCTCTATTATTACTTTCTGAGTTCATCCAAACTACTACTAACTTCCCAACTTGATTATTCTGGTCCAACCTGTAAGCCTTCTTACCAGTGACATTCAGATAATCTAGGACAATTCTGGCAATGACTTGCGATTTATTGCCGTCATATTGTGTAAGACTATCTAATTAATGCTCATATCTTTCCTTTAGTCAATGGCTCACCTTCCATTTATTGATTTAATTCAGAGGTTCCAAAGAACATGCTGTCTATCTTCCACTCCATTCCTTCACTAGAGTTGAAAGTTTACAAATCCCAGGGACCCAATGATTTTACATCCCAGAAAGTTGAAATAGTGAATGAATCAGCGATCATATTTCAACATTTTATAGATTCTGGGCAGTGCCTGTGGATTGGCAGGGTAAAAATGTAACTGCAGTGTTTAAGAAAGCGGGGGGAGAAAAGAATGGGGAATTACAATCATGTTAGCCTGACATCAGAAGTAGGGACAGTATATAAATATATATAAAGGATATGATAACTGGACATTTAGATAATGATGATCTGATCTGGCAGAGTCAACATGGTTTTATGAAAGGAAAATATTTCTGACAAACCTATTAGAGCTTTTTGATGATACAGCTAGCTGAGTAGATAAGGGGGAGCCAATGGATGCAGTAATTGTGAATTTTCAAACACTTTTTAAAATATTTTCCTACACAGGTTAGGAAACAAAGCTAGACCACTGAGATAGAGAGTAATATGTTGGCATGGATGCATGAAAGAAAACAGTATACATAAATGGTTCATTCTTAGGTTGGCAGGCTGCGTCTAGTGGGTTACCACAAGGATCTATGCATGGGCTGACCCTGTTCACAATTTAGCTAAAGGATTAAGATGTGGGCACTAAATGTAATATTTCAAAGTTTGCAGATGTCACAAAACTAGGCGGGAACATGTGTTGTAAGGGTGATAATAAAAGGCATCAAGGGGATTTGGACAAGTTGAATTTACAAGTAAATGGTCGAAAGAATATAATGTGGATAGACATCAGGTTGTTCACTTGGTCGTAGGAATGGAGGTGTCGGGTATTTATTAAATGATGAGAGATTGGGAAATATTTATGTCCAGAAGCTCCTGGATGTCTTTGTTCATCATTACACTGAAAGCTGGCGTACAAATGCAACAAGAAGTAAGATGATAAATGGTTTGTTGGCCTTTATCGCAAGAGGATTTGAGTACAAGAGTAAAGAGATCTTACTTCAATGATATCGATCCTTGGTAAGACTGCACCTGAAGTCTTGTGTGCAGTTTTAGTTCTCCTATCTAAGGAAGTCTACACTTGTCTTAAAGGAATACAGCATGGGTTCACTAGACAGTTCCCTGGGAAGGCAGGACTGTCCTGTGAAGAGAGATTGTCGAAACAATCTATAGAGTTTTAAATATTGAGAAGTGGTCTAATGGGAACTTAGAAATGTCTTAAAGGGATTGACCAGGTGTATGCTGAAAGGATGTTTTTGCCTGGCTGGGATTCTTGTCCCAAAGGACAGAGTCTCAGAACAAGAGGCGAACCATGTGGAACTGAGATGAACTAAGACTCCCTACTCAGAGTAGTGAATTTTCAGAATTCTGTACCCCAGAGAAATGTGGAACTTCAGTCATCGAGTATGCTCAAGGTAAAGATTGCTAGATTTCTTTTTATTCTCTACATCAAGGATAAAGGGATACAGTGAGAATATAAATGCCACCTTTCTACATATCTCTAATGTTGTTCCATTTCTGTCTAGGCATAACTGTTTGCTACTGGTTGATTGTGTTGCCTCTCTTGGAGGGGCCCCTCTCTACATGGATAAGCAGGGTATGTATTTATCTAATATTCGGCTCAAGAGTAGGCTATCAATCCTGCTGCCTCCCTTGGGCCTTTAATTCATATTTTGAGAAAATGGGTATAAATTTTACATTGTTGATTCCAGAAGAAATTAATTGTCTTTCTAAAAATAGCCATTTCCTCTTTGAGTAATATTGTAAAATATTTACATTTGGTTTTTCTGAAGTCTTATTGTTGTGGTATGGCACTGCTATGATTTTCCTGCCAGCTGCAGGGTTAGACACCTCTGTTACTTCTATACATGTGTTCACAGTTTGTTTTTAAGTGACCCTGTTATGTCCCCATTATTTGGAACAGGGTCTATGATGATGGTTCCAGGAATTATGCTTCACTGCACTTTTCAGAGTGGAGCAGAATTTAGCCCTTTTCTTTCTCTCACTCTGTGCTCCCCCTCCACCTGTCTGCTCACTTCTTTCCCTCTGCCCACTGGGTCAGCAAATTTATTCAAGCATATGAACTACACATATTGACACCTTATTAGTAACAGCCAAGGTCAATTTTAATATTTACTGGGTATTTAGTTCATTGTGCTAGACTGATGCCATTTTTCTCCGTTCAGATATTGACATCCTTTACTCGGGTTCCCAGAAAGTCCTCAACTGTCCTCCTGGAACTGCACCACTCTCATTTAATGACAAAGCCTGGTATGTAACTACATCTGTTCAGCTAATGTAGTGATCACAGGTATCTGCAAGAAGCTGTGTCTGCTATCACTGTTGCCATTGGAATGTACATGTGCACATGACATCAGATTATCTGCAGTTCTGTAAAACCCTTGACTCTTGCTAGACGACAAGCCACTGCCAAGAAAAAATAATTTCTGAGCCCCCTGCATGGTCCTTCTCTGTTTATTCCCTCAGACAGCAAGCATCCAGCACAGGTTCAGTTCCCCAGGCTTCTCACCTCCCTCCCTTACATCTTCATCTTGGAACTTACAGCATCACTTTTTACAAAGGCCCTCTCGTTTAACCAAACATCCCAAAAGCCAACACTGAGCATTGGAAGATGACGGAGGTAGGATGAAAGGATGGTTGAAAAGATTTATTTTGAGGAGGCTTTTCATTAAAGATTGCGAGGGAGAAAGTAGCCAAATGAAGTGGCTTAGAGACAATGTTCCAGAAAGAAGGACCGCACTGGTTGAAAGCTGACCGATATGGAGTAGTTCATCGTAGGAAAGAAAAGCAAAGGTAGGATCGGGAGGAAAGCTGCAGAGCTATGACAGGTTGAGGCCTTGAGGAGATTGAAAATGAAGATTAAAGACTTTCTATAGAGGAAGAGGGTGTCAAACAATATCAGCAAAGATAGAGGTGGCAAATAAACTTTGTGCTGATGACAGAATGTTGCATTAATTGGGATTTGTAAGTCAGAACTGAGGGGATGGTTGAGCGAATAGGACCTGTGGATAATGAGGATCAGTCTCAGTGCTGGGTGGAAAATAAGGATGGAGGTGGAAAAAGTTGCAGGGGTAGACTTTCATTGTCTTGTTAATCAAATGAAATGCAGTTTCTTAAAGTTTAATTTTGGATTGAATCAGACACAAAGTTTGCAAGCTGCCTCTCCCAGCGTAAGGAGGAGGCTGGCAATGGGAGTGGAATCTGGGGCATGGATATAGACTCTTTGGTAGAAGCTTTTGGTCTTTCAGATGTTCAGTTAAAGGACACTCTGGCTCATCCATTGTTTGATATCAGATAAGAAGGACAGAAGTTGTGGAATTCAATCTGAATGAGGAGGGGATGAAGGTGTTAACAACATGCTTTGTAAAACTGTCTGCGTACAGATAACATCATTGAGAGAGAGCCTATAGATGAGGAAAAGGCCATGGTGGTCTGGAGGTAATTGTGTAGATCTGAAGGTGAAACTATTGGTTGAGTTATTTTGATCATGTAGTTGAGGTATCTTGCTGCCTGCAATTTAGCTATTACATTTCCTACAATTTCAGTGGTTACGTTTCACAATTCCTTAAAGTGCTGTAAAGCATTTGGACTTCTTGAGGTTATGACAGGCTCTATGTACATGCAAATAGTGGCAATATCACTGTATGAGTAATCCAGAAGTCTAGGTTAATGGTCTAAGGATACAGGTTCAAATCCCACCACAGTGGCTGGTGGAATTCAATTTTTTTAAAAAATATTGTTCATTCGGGGATGTGGGTGTCACTTGTTGGGCTATCATTTATTACTTATCCCTAGTTGCACTTAAAGATGGTAGTGAGCTGCTGTCTTGTACCACTACAGACCCATATGGTATAGACAGACCCATATCCTTACCTGATTTGGCTGACATGTAACTCCAGCCCCACATTCATATGGTCGGCTCTCAGCTGCCTCTAAAATGGTCTAAGAATCATTTGGTTTAAGGGCAATTAGGGATGAACAACCAATGCTGGCCTTGCCAGTGATAATGACATCCCACTAAAGAATAAAATATACGTCTTTAAGTTTAGGAAAGTTTACTTTGCCCCAGAAGTCCTAAATCTAATCAAAATCTAGTTCCCAGTGGGTAAACCCCAAACCAACAATGATCCAATTCCCATAAATCTGCATCTATTTCACTCCTCCGACACAATCCTACAAAATATGTTAAAGTCTCCATACTGTTATCACTCTTAAAGGCTAAGGAGACAGTTTAAAGCAACAGGAATTAGTGGAGTCAGTGGCACAGTGATAATTTATGGTGCCAAACTGATAGGCTTGCCCATTGCTCTATGAAAGCTCTTCCAGGGGTTTTAAGTCCCTGTTTGACATTGGCCCAATAAAACGGCTGGGTTCATTTAATCACATTTAATAATCACTAGCAATAATTCAATGTTCCCAATAAATACTGCGACCCCAATGGTTTACAGACCCCTCAGTCAGAAATTGAAGAATATGGCAGGATATGGACAACATTCCAGATTGCTTCCACAAGTTAGCTTTTAACTTTCTTCTTTGACTGAGTTCTCCTGCCTATCCTCTCAGAATCAGGGACATCACAGTGACTTGATTTATTAATTGATTTATTGTCATGTGTACTGAAATACAGTGAAAAGCTTTGCTTATGAGCAGTACAGGCAGATCATAGTAAGCAAAGGATGTAGAGATCAGAAAAGACTTAGAGGCATATTGGTTACGTTGCGCAGGGCGTGTGCTAGGTGAGATCAACGTTAGCAAGATCACCGTTATTTGAGGCTAGAGAGTCCATTCATCAGACTGATTAAGGCCAGGAAGAAGCTGTTCCTGAACCTGCTTGTGCGTGTGTTCAGGCTTCTGTATCTTCTGCCTGACGGAAGAGGTTGTAGGAGATCATTACCGGGGTGCGATGGGTCTTTGATGATGTTAGCAGCCTTTCCATGACAGCGGGCCGTGTAAATGGTGTCCATGGATGGAAGGTTGGCTTCCATGATGGTCTGGGCAGTGCACACAACGTTCTGTAGTTTCTTACGATCTGGGCAGAGCAGTTGCCATACCAGGCTGTTATGCACCCGGAGAGTATGCTTTCAACAATGTGTTTGTAGAAGTTGGTGAGGAACCTTATATACATATGCCAAATTTCCTGAGCTGCCTGAAGAAGAAGAGGTATTGTTGTGTCTTCTTGATTGTCACATGTATATGGGAAGTCCAGGACAGCTTGTCGGACTTGGCACCTTTTCCATTAGTCAGAGTGCCTACAAGTAATGTCAATCACCAGAATATCCAAAAAACGCATAGAACAGAAAGCGACATCTGTTTGCAAAATATTCTGCAACAATCTCAAAATGTCCCCTTTTTGAGATTTTTCTTTACAAATTCAAATGTGGTCTTTGTGTGCTTTTGTTTCCACAGCCAGAAAATATTTAATCGGAGGAAGAAACCTGTTTCTCTGTACCTCGATATGAGTTGGCTCTCAAACCTCTGGGGCTGTGACGGGAGCCCGAGAAAGTATGATAGAGTCCTGTTCCTTTTATTGCAGCAAATAAGGGAAAGAGTCAGGAAGTGTATGGAAGGGTGGGGAGAGAAGGAAGCAGGGGCATGGGTGGGGTTGAGGAAGCTATTTGTCAGAGGGCTTCTGAAGGATATGGGAGGGGAGAGAAGTGGAAAACGGGGTGGTGGGAGAGTTTAGGAGCAGGTGGGAGAGGGCAGGTAGAAATGGGGCCGGTGGGGGACGAAGGCGAGGATGGGTGGAGGATTAAGTGGGGTGGGTGGAAGGGGGTCGTGGAGAAGAGTTAGGTGTGGGGAGAGGGAGCGGGTATGTGGGGGCAGGAGCTCTTTGATATTGGGGAAAGGAAGGGGTGGATGAGAATGGGGAATGAACAAGTAAGTAGGAAGGAACGGGTACGAGGGAGGGGTCTCCAACGCAGTTCGTGGGGGCGGCGGGGAGGAGCAGGTGTTAGAGGGGAAGGGGGTTGTTCAGGAGAGGGAAAGAATGCCTGAGTGTCACTTCCTCAAGAACCTCAGCTTGTATCTCGAACAGGTACAGTTGTAATGCCATGATGTGATTCCATTGATTAATCCTAACTCTAGCAGCATAAAAGTTGAGTAAAACCAAAGTGCAGGAGATGCTGGACATCTGAAATGAAAACAAAGTGCCAGATAAACTCAGCAGGTTTGGCAGCATCTATGGAGAAAGAAACAGAGTTACTGTCTCAAGTCCAATAACACTTTTTCAGAACGGCATAAAAAGCAACTTTACCCTTGGATTGGTATTCTTGTGATAAGTGCAAGGTGAAAACTTTTGACACAACGTGTCTCCTTTTCCAGCAATTGTCAAGTCTTTTACTACCAAATGACAACTTGTATTCCTAATTTAATAGATATCATTGCTGTTGGTTTAAAATTAATTTTTAATTCAATTTTAGAATCACTGGCTCTAAGATGCTCCTTATAATATGACATCCATTCAAAACATACCTTCAGATATCCCGAGTGACTGAGTCACTTTTCCAGCATGTTTGAATCTGTGCATTTTTCTTCACTCTGAGGTTTCACTGAGAGGCAAAACTCACCAAAAACAATGCTTTCAATGGACTTTGCTGGAAAAGAGCAGAATCCCAGGCCCACTCTGGGCTATGAGAATCGTGAGCCTCACTGAGCTGAGAATTGAGCAATCTCACTGTTTTTACAGATACCATCATACGACCCCCATCACGGGCCTTTTTGCATTGAGAGAGGCACTTGCAATTCTTGCAGAACAGGTGAGTACTGCTTGATTTCTGAATGTTGCTTTAATGGAATGCATACTTTTCATGCAGTCCAAAGCACAATGTAGATTCCTGGGATAATGATGATCAGTTGGCAACTAACAGCAGGCTTTTGTCAGGACAGAGGCTAACAGACCTCATCCCCATTTCAGGACAGTACCAGACTCCAATCCCAGCAACTTACTGTAGCCTCAGTATAATATGCCTCCTCTCTCAGGACAATACCTAATATCCATAGGTACTCATTGTAGTCCATAAATTTCTTCAGTTTCTCTTGAGATGTTGATTTCTTCTCAAATACAAGGCAAGGGCAGTGGAAAGTGCCTGTATGCCCAGCTGGTTATTCTTCATACCTGACCCTCTTGTTACACTGGGAAAAGTCCAGCCATACTGATACTGTTCTTATTCCAATATTCGTGATTGAAGACTCATAAGTAGCTTCAATGCAACAACAGCCACAGGATCGCTGGTTGATTTGACCATAAGAGATACAGTACACTGTAGGGTAGGAGCTGAATTTTACAGGGGCTCATAATGCCTGCAATCCCCACCCGTCCACATCCCAAAAGAAAAGTTGGTTGAAAATGGACAGACTGGTGAGTCCTGCTGTAGTAACACACTCTGGGTGGCCTGAAGGAAATGAGGGTAAGATTTAACACCCTTCTTGGGAACATGTTTCACTTCTGTCAGCCAAAGACGGTCCCAGCAGTGAGAGGATTCAGTAATGGATGCTGCTGGGACACAAGGAAGTCCTCAAGGTCAATGATTGATCCAAGTAAGCCCCGGATGTTTTGGGTGGGGAGATATTGGGTAAGCTAGAGAGCACTGAGGGTGTGCTTCCCTGGCCAGGTAGGAAGTGATGGAGGGGCAGTGAAATCTTGCAATGATAGGAGACGGTCCCCATGATGTGAATAGGGTATCCTTCAAAGAGCACGCTAATTTCCTTCCATTTGATTTTTAAGAAAAAGTAGTTTCATCTCCCGTCTGCACGCCAGGCCAACAGTGTTATAATGTGGGCAGTGTATTATTAGTCCTCAAATGAATGTTAATGATCTCAGTTGCCTGTTAATGATTGTTAATAAATTGCAGGGTGGGCTGCTGATGTAAGTGCCCACCTACCATATATGGGGATAAGGGCAGGGGAGGGGCTTCCTGTGGCCTACCATCCATCATATTTTACATGCCCCTCACCTGCCAAAAATGCCTGGAAGGGCAAGTTGTAGAACACAACCTACAGATCTGCCTCCGTTGCCAAAGTGGAAAGGAGAAATTTACTCCACTGCTGCCCAGTGAGCAGAGGACTTTTAAAATGGGCCATTTCACTCATCCTCATGCACCATCCCATTCCCATTGGAAGTGCACTGGCTACCATTCCAATGGCTGAGGCATAAGCCAGTTGCAGTACAAGATTGCTGAGACGTCAGATCAAATCAAGGAGCTTTATCCTCAGGTCAGGAGCTTTGAAAAGTAGGGTGAAGAAACTCTCCTGAGTAAGGAAATGTCTTTTATTTGTTGGGACCAAGATGGATAGGATTCTGCCAAGCAAAGCTGTGAGGGAGTATCCCCTTCCTTCTGTCAACCATAACACCTTCCAAATTCCTGTCAGTGCCTTGTTCCTCACTAGTGAGTTTTGCTTTGGTGTCATTCGGTGGACTCTGTGTACTTAAACATCCGCTGCCCCTCCCCTGCCAGTTCCTCACCTGATCAAAGTTGACGGGTCTGAAATCGAAACCGACACAGACTTTTTGTGCCTGCCTAATGCTGCCTGCCCGATGCTCACTGGGCATCAAACTGTCTCCTAGTTTCTCCATAAAGTGTAAAACGACTGTCAAATCAGACATTGCTGAGAAACAGAGAAAATATTCCTGAGAAATAGAGAAAAAAGATGTTAGAGGCCATGATTTTAAACCCTAATGCCAGAACGTCAACTTCTGCCTATTATGCAGCATCCTGTCTGTTATTCTGAGTGCTACCTACCTTTACCCTTTAGCCCTGTAGATGTTTTATTGTTTAAAGAGGTTTTGGAGATGGGGATTTATTTTTGATTTTGCAGCTTGATTCTTTGCTATACAGGGTCTTGAAGAAAACTGGAAGCTTCACCAGGAGAATGCCGAGTACCTGCACAAAGGGATAGAGGACTTGGGATTAAAACTCTTTGTGAAGGACAAGGTAAGGAGTAGCAGAGCAATTAGGCTGGTGCCAGGTCACCAAGGCATTATTCATTGTAAGAATTGAGGAGTTCAAAATGCAAATGGGAGGCAGTGGCACAATGGGAATATCACTGGATTAGTAATCTAGAGCCCTAGAGCCATGTTCTGGGGTTAAAGCCCACCATGGAAAATGGACATCTGGAATTAAAATTGTCATTTGATCCACTGATTCCCTTTGAGGGAAAGAAATTTGTTGACTTTACCTGGTATGGCCTACAGTGACTCCAGGCATACAACGGAATGAAACTGAACAGGTCACTTGGCATTGAATGTTAGTGCCAAAGCCAACCCTTATTGACCATGCAAAGTCCTCCTTTATAAATGTCATGTGCCAAAATTGGAGAGCTGTCCCACAGACTAATCAAGCAACAATATGCCATAGGCATACTCACAGAATAGCTTACAGATAAAATCCCAGATGCCATCACCATTGAACAGACTGCATATTTCTTCCTGTTCCAACACAGGGCCAATCCACCAAACGTGATGGTATACAGTGATATCATCCATGTTGTGCAGCACTACCACCATGCTGAAAAAAACAGCTAACTTTAATAGATCTAGCAACTTGAAGCTGGGTCTCCATGAGGCACTGTGGGCCATCAGCAGTAGCAGACTTAACCACAACCTGTAATCTCATGTCTTAGCATATCCTGCTGTCTACCTTAGCATCAAGCAGAGGGTTCAACTCTGGCTCAGTGAAGAGTGCAGGATGGTATACCAGGAGCAGCACCAGGCATGATGAAGTGTTCGACTTCAACCTGGTCAAGCAACAACACAAGACTGCATGCATGCCAAGCAGGGGAAGCATGCGACAGACAGAGATAAACCTTGCCACAATAAACAGACCTAAGCTCTATCGTGCTGCAACATTCAGTTGTTAATGTTGCTGGATAATAAAACAACTCACTGGAGGAGGTGACTCCACAAATATTCCCATCCTCAATCATGGGACAGCCCAACATTTCAGTGCAAAAAAAAGGCTGAAACATTTGCAGTAATCTTCAGTCAGAAGTGCTAAGCAGATGATCCATCTCAGTCTCCACCTGAGCCCTTCAGCATCACCAGTGGTAGTCTTCAACCAGTTCAATTCCATGTGATATCCTTATCAGCTGAATGCACTGGATACTGCAAATGCTATGGGCCCTGACAACATTATGCTTATAGTACTGAAGACTCGTGCTCTAGAACTTGCTGCACCCCTAGCCACACCATCCTAATACAGCTACAACACTGTCACCTGCACCACAATGTGGAAAACTACCCAGGTGTGTCCCCGTCCACAAAAGTGTAGAATAAGTCAAATCTGGCCGTCTCCAGCAAAAAGGCGAATCTAAATCTAACCAGAACCCTTTGATATTCAACAGCATTACCATCACTGAATCCCCCAATTACAAAACGTTGAAGGTTACCATTATCTAGGGGCTGAGCTGCAGTAGCCATATACCTATTGCGTTTGTAATAGTAGGTTAGAAACTAGGAATTCTGTTGTGAATAACTCACCATCTGTCTACTTAAAATTTGTCATCTACAAGGCACAAGTCAGGAGTGTGATGGAATACTCCCCACTTGCCTGGATTAGTGTAGCTCCAATGACACTCGAGAAGCTGACACAATCCAGGACAAAGCAGCCACTTAACTGGCACCCCATAAAGCACCTGCAACATTTCACTCCCCCCATCATTAATTCACACTGGCATCAGCCTATATCATCTACAAAAGGCATAGCAGTAATTCACCAATGTTCTTTTTGACAGCACCTTTTAAATATGCAACCTCTACCAACTAGCAGGATCAGGACAGTAGTTGCAGGGGACACCACCACCTGCAAGTTCCTCTCCAAAACTCACACCATATCAATGTGAAGCTATGTAATTGTTCTTTCAATGTTGCTGGAACAAAATCCTGGAACTCCCTCCCTAACAGAATTGTTGGTGTTTACACCATATGGACTGCAATGGATCAAGAAAGCAACTCACCACCACCTTCTACAGGGCACTTTCTACAGGGCAATTGGCAGTGGGGCAACAAATGCTAGCCTAGTCAACAGTGCACTCATCCCATGAACAAACTGTAACGCACCAGTACAATCACTTACTATAAAGGAAGCGTATGTGGTAACATTTATAGGTTCTTCAGGGTGAGGGGCACAGTTAAGGCGCAAATAGTCTCAAGAGGTAATACAGTTGTCCATTGTTTGTGAGTGATGAAGAAACCATGGGATGGAAGAGGGTAGGGTAATGTGAGAGAGAGGCATGGGTGCTTGAGCAGGAGAGAAGGAATGCTGGTGAAATAGCACTTTTTTGAAGTACTAAAACACTGGAAAGAGCTTTGAGTTGGGAGCAGCTGAAAAATAAACTTGCCAATGCCCTGATATTAAGCATTGTGCTATGAAATGAATTTTAATCAACCTGTTTGATCATGTTTTGACACATTTCCATGGTGGTTGAATCTTAACCTTCTGTCCTAGAATGAGTACGATTACTGAATCCTCAAGTCTGCTCTGATAAGGGTCACAGTTCTTGAAATGTGGCTGTGGCAAAGAGTTCCAGGTGAACAATGAAGAACTAGTGAAATTATTTGCAGTTTCATGGATATTCACCTAAAGTGAAGAAACAGATATTGGGATGGTACAATCACTTGAAAAGGAGAGTCTGGTGTTGGAGACAAAAGCAAATAAAATATCAGGGAACTGCAAGCCAGATTGAAAAAGGGTTGATTGAGTAGACAACATTGAACTAAATGGTGAATTAACAGCAGCATGCACAATAGCTATGAACAGAGATATCTAGCACCCCTCACTGTAGCTGAATTTAAAAAAAAATATTTTTCTTCCTCCCTCCAGTACTTACAGGTCCACTAGTACCTAAAATCGGGCTTTCTGAGAACAAACAACATCCAAACACCCAACAAGGACATCTTGAACTGTTTTTTCCTTCCCCCAGCAAAAACCTTCCCTTGCCTATTAACCAAACAGTGCTATGGCGCTCTTGGGATTTCAGTAACAAGTTTTGCACTCATTATATTCCCACCCATCTGCCAAAGACCAGATATGTGCTTCAGCTAAGGTGTCATTTTGATTAACCACCTGATCTGCCCAAACCAGAAATAGCTAGATCCAAAATTGGTGTGAACCTGGATCTGAGATTGCCGGTATGAAACAAGCTATATTTATCCTTCTTCCATTCTTGCCGTATAATTCACAGTACAATCAAACTTGCAACCTTGAGTGCCCGGTTGTAAAGAAAAACTGTATTGAAGTAAATAGGGATAGTAAGAACTGCCGATGCTGGAGTCAGAGATAACACAGTGTGGAGCTGAAGAACACAGCAGGCCAGGCAGCATCAGAGGAGCAGGAAAGCTGACGTTTCGGGTCAGGACCCTTCTTTAGAAAAATCCTCTGATGCTGCCTGGCCTGCTGTGTTCCTCCAGCTACACATTGAAGTAAATGGGGTTGGAAACCAAACAGGAAAACATTAGAAGTTTTTCTCCCGTTCTTCAAACATCAAGTCAACTCAACCACTCCATTTGACAGAGATTTCACCTCTCTATAAATTACTTTTTTACACCTGCAGCGATTTGTGCATCTGAGAACCAAAATGATACACGTCTTCCTCCACCGTTCTTTCTCTCTCCTCATTAATATTGTGATTTGGCTTTCAAACCAAAGTGAATAACTCACTTCCTGACTCCCCAAAGCCTGTCCACCATCTACAAGGTACAAGTTAGGAACGTGATGGCATACTCCCCAGTCACCTGGATAGGTGCAGCTCCAACAACACTCAAGAAGCTTGACATCATCCAGGAAAAAGCAGACCACTTGATTGGCACATCCATAAACATCCACTCCCTCCACCACTGATGCTCAATAGCAGCAGTGTAAAGTATCTACAAGATGCACTGCAGAAATTTACCAAAGATCCTACACAGCACCTTCCAAACCCATGACCACTTCCAGAAGGACAAGGGAAGCAGGTATGTGGGAACATCACCACTTACAAGGTCCCCTCCAAGCTACTCACCATCCTGATCCTGATATTGAAATATATTACCATTCTTTTGCTGTCACTGGGTCAAAATACTTGATTTTCTTCCCTAACAGTATTGTAGATCTACTGACAAACATGGATTTAAGTGGTTTAAGAGGCAGCTCATGATCACCTTCTCAAGGGCAATTAGGGATGGGCAATAAATGCTGGTCCTGCCAGCAATACCAGGCCCCAAGAGTGAATAGAAAAAAAATCTCAGAATTCCCCATATTAAATTCAATTGACCTATTTAGTTAACCTATGTCTTTTTGTAACTTCCTTGCCCCAACTACACAAATGATTCTGTGAACTATCTTTGTACCATTTTTAAACTTGAACATACAACCTCAAGTCTTCATTCAAGTCACTGATATATGGTAAAATGCTGAGATCATTAGGAAACCATGTATGGAAATGGCAATTAAACCCAAAGAATAATCGGAAGAAATCTACTTTGTGCTCATGTGCCGCATATGAACTCGAGGCCTTCAATATCCAGTCTCAAAAGAAAACATTAATGCAAATGGGGAGGTCCAAACAAGGAGAAAAAAGAAATTAAAAAAAGTTTGTTTTTCTTTCTTCAGGCTATTAGACTGCCCACAGTTACGACAATTGCAGTACCAGAAGGCTATGAGTGGAAAGACATCACTGATTTCATCATGAAGAAATATCAGATTGAAATCACTGGGGGTCTGGGGCCTACTATTGGAAAGGTGGGTGAAGTCAAACTACAGGGAAGATAACCTGGTATATTGGTTAAAGGCATGTACTAATGTTAGTGTTATTCATCTACCTGTACATTTTGCAGGAACAGTTTCCCTAAAACACATGCAGCTGATGAACATTTCACATTGTAATTTATGTAAAGGGATTAATGGAGTGGTGAGATAAGCATTACCTGGAAGTATTAAAGCATAGCTAAGGCTTTGGGGCAAGGGGCAGTATGGTGTGCATGAGGAAGGGAGAGTTGATTATTCTGCCTTTAAAAAGTCAAGCCTTTGGTGCATCTTTCACATTTGTTTCCAGTCACCTGGATTATTCACATGTATTCTGCCTGAACAAAAACAAATTGTCTATTGCCAGCATTCTGATTAAACTATTTTATATGCTTGGGATTTCATAGAAGGCAAGTTCCTAATCTTACTGCGGTAGCATGTAGAAACAACTGCATACACCTATATATGCAGGTCATTTCAGCCAGAAGCTCCCTGCAGAAGGACCAACACAGAAAATGCTTCAAAGATTTAAGCTTTCATAGAAAATGATTCTATGGATTTATGTTTTAGGCAAAGCACCTGGAGAAGGACTCATATAGTTAACCCTTGTGGGGCTGGTATGTCATTTTAGGGCAAATTCCTTGCTCCTGCATTTCTGGCAGATGGCATGGCAACACAGGGCAGTAGTTAACTAACACTTGAGTGTTGTGGTCCCAGAATGACATTAAGCCCAACATACATAGATGAATACATGGGGCAAATTTGATAGTCACCTACACAGAGCAATATTGTACAACATGTGGCTTTTGGTTTCTAGTTCTATATTTCAAAATGTCTGAAAAATTATTGAAAACCATGCTCCTTGACCATTTCGTGCCTGTATCAATTGTATGCATCACAGATAATACCCCATTTGGTACTGATTCATAAATTCCTTGTTCACAGTCTAATCATACATACTGATGCAGTTGGTACAGAGCTACTTCCCTCAGGCAAGACTTCCTATCTTAACTGTTCTTGAATCTTTGAAAGAATAGGCTTTAGTAACTGTTATCTTTCGATACTTAGTGATTCCTTCTATTTCTCTGTTTCGTACATTAGCCAGAAAAGGTAAACTTTAATTGCCCATGGTTAACATCATTATTGTAACTTGCAGTTTGTTGGGCATTGATTTCTTTTATATAATACTCAGACATTAAAAGTAGAAGACAAGCTATGTTTTCCTGTCTTGTACTTAATAGAATCTATCATTCCAAGAAATAAGGAAATTCAATTTCTTTTAACTCCCAAAAGTACCTAACAGCAGATTGAAAATAGAGCTACAACACTCGCTCTCTTTGTCTTAAATCCCTCCCAATTGCAATTATCACATATCCCATTTGGAATGTGGGACTGATGGATTTAGATTAACATTTCTAAGTCATCTACAACTAAATCAATTTATTTCCTGGTCTTAGGTTTTGCGGATTGGATTAATGGGCATCAACTGTACAAAAGCTAATGCGGACCTTGTGCTTGGAGCTCTGAAGGATGCCCTTGAGCAGTGCAAGAAAAGCAAGCACTGAGCCAAGGCTGGAGGCATTGAATGGTTCCAGGATCTAACAACCAGCTGACTGAACAGGAAACAAATCCTTGAATAACAAAACTTGAATTACTTTGTCTTTACTATAATAAATCAGAACATACTTCCAACTGTACCAAATCCTAGCAATTAGAAAATGAAACTTAAAAAGCCAGATGTTTCTTTTACTTTGTGATATCTATTACCATATAATTGCAAAGGATCTATTTCATAATATTGAGGAGCACCATTAAATTCAATCTTATCTGAATCTGCAACAAAATATTTTGGAAGCTGGTGTGTGTTTAAACATTGTCCTAGCCTCAGCCACCAATCTTCATTCTCTGTGTGGCTTGGGAAATTAGCAAAGGACTTCATTTTTCTGTTTACCTCAGCTTTAGCAAAGTCCCCTGATAGGTTTGGGTGTCAGAGCATGAGGGTGAGAAATGGATTTGGGCTGTGGGTCATAATTATCTACTTTCATTACTGCACAATGACATAAATCAAGCAATAAACAAATTAAATGTCAAAATCGCACCCTTCCAATCAGGTTAGTGAAGTCACTGCAGTTATGTGACTGAAACGGGAAGGGGGCTCTATTGTAGAGACTGCTTTTTGGATACTCTGAAAAATTGAGGTATTACAGAGCTGGGAGACCTCAATATATGAACTATAACAAGTGTGTTGTATGAATTTAATACATTACAGTGTAAAATTCAATGGATCATATTCAGATATCTACTGAATAAACAAATTTTCAGTGCTATTTCCTTGAATTAGTTTTTGAATTGCTATGTAAAACTTTATAGTCAGTTTATTAAACATGCCATCAATTACACATTTAGGTATATTCTATAATTTGAGCCATAAACTGCTTATTTTCTTTTTCGCTCATCCATCCTTCAGATTTGTTAGGTTGATACTCCAGGACAGCAATGAGGGAGTGCTGCAGTGTCAAAAGTCACAGCCTTCTGATGTGACATTATGCTGGCTAATTTTTATAGGGCTGGGTCACTAACCTGATGTCCTGGCCAGTGTTCCTCTCTGAACATACATCACAATTCATCTCACTACAGCATCACTTTGGGATGTCTCCAACAGAGATGTTACAGTTTCATATTCTATATCAATATATGAGGGGACTCATGATCATTAAATGTGTTGAACCTTTATCTCAACAAACTTTGATCAAGTGTAACACAAGCACAATTTGACGAGTTTTAAAATCAAAACCTTGCTTAACTGGGAAGCTGGGAATACAATTAGAAAGACTAAGTTGAAACCCCTTGGGACAACAGTCCCATCGAGCACGACGACACTGGGGTGACGTTAGAGGGAAATGGTGTGGTCAACAGTCAGGCTGCAGAGAGGTCAAAAAGATCAAGGAGGGAAAGCTGATCTTTGTCACTGTCATGTACAACGTAATTTCATAATTTAAGAGCAGTACTGTGACAGGGCTAGAAACCTGAGGCAAGGAATTCAGACATGCAGGCCCAGGAAAGTTGTGTATGTATTTCAAAGATGACAGAACATTTATGGACTTTGGAAGGTAAGGGAGCTTGGAGATGGGGTGGTGGATTGTGAAGATAGTATGATCAAGGTTTGGTTTCTTTTGAGCAATTAGCTGTGACTTTTCAGCCCAAGGCTGGGCATTGTCCAGCTTCTAGAATCATAGAATACCCACAAAGGAAGTAGGCTATTTGGCTCATCAAGTTCACACCGACACCTCCAAAGACCATCCACACCCTATCACTGTAACTCTGCATTTACCATTTGCTAACCTCTTTAACCTGCACATGCCTGGACACTATGAATAATTTAGCATGGCTAAGCCACCTAACCATCTTTGGACTGTGGAAGGAAACCCATGCAAACACAGGGAAGACATGCAAACTCCACACAGTTGCCTGAGGATGAAATCGAACCTGGGTCCCTGGCCCTATGAGTCAGCAGTGCTAACCACTGAGCCACTCTTGCTACAAGCAGACATTTTTTTTCATCAGGAGCTGTTAATAAAAGCCTACGTTGTGAACTCAATCAACAATCTCATTGCTGACCTTATTTTGAGCAAGGGCCATTGATGAAGCAGCTTCTAACAATCATAACCATAATTTTTTGTGGTAGATATGACATCAGACAATAGTAAGTTCTTTTTCCTAAATCCCTACTGGTTTCAATTTTACCAGGGCTCCTTGCTGCCACACTCCATCAAATGGTGCCTTGATATTGAGGGCAGATACTCTCACCTCATCTCTTGAATTTAGTCTTTTGTCCAATATTAGACCAAGGCTGCAATAAGATCTGGAAACAAGTGATTGTGACAAGATCCAAACTGTTGCTTAGGTGTTACTTGATAGCATAACCCCTTATGAAACTTAAGGAATATTTGAGAATAGACTGGAGGGGATTAACTAGCTGATTTGGTTTTGAACTCCTCCTTGTAGATTTGGCATACTGATACAGTAATGCATTTGCCCAGGAGGATGGCAGTGCTGTGAGTGTACTGGCACAGTCTGGCTTTAGGCACTTGTGAACAGGCATATCAGGCTGACTTTGTTTTGACTATTTTGGAGACTATGTATATTGTCTAAGGTATTCAAAGAAAATTGCTTCCAATACCATTAGGCAAGGGTCAACATGAAATCAAATCCCTATAAGTTAACTTATTGCTGTTAAGTAATAATGGTGCCTATAAATTTTTGTTTGTGGTTGTACTGAATTACTGGTTGATAGATGAACTGTTAGCTTTGAATCAATTTCTTTAAGGCTTTTACTGGCTTTTGCAGTTGGCATGTTTGATCAAGAGGAAAGCAAGAATTTCATTCACACCATCAAGCAAGTATCCATAAACACATGATCTTAGATGGAAAAACATGGGAAAGATACAGTTTTAAAATAATAATTTATTTAGGACACTTTGGTCTGAAGACTAGAGGTCACTATAAATAACAATGGTCCATAACTTCCAAGCCACTATAACAGTGAATACTTAGATTTGAATCAGAGGTCAGAATGTCACTGAAGGAATCAGATGCTAAGAACACTCAATACCTGCTAAGCGACTTGAATTGAAACTACTGCAATTTACCTCTCATCAGAATTAGTAGATAGAAAGTCTGACTAAAAATAACTGGAGTCGTGACTGGGATAGGGAGGGAGTAGAAAAATAAGGTAAGATGTCCCTTGACAAAGGCTGTTGCCATATTCAGTCCAAAATGATAAGAAAATATTTATCACAGTGATATATATTTTATTGCTTTCGACTGAATGAGTTCATCATGAAAAATACTTATAACATAAAATGCAGAGTACCATTTACTTGTACTGGTGCACAATAGTCAGTCCTTTGGCAAATTAAAAACTAATTTAAGTTTTGCCTATTAATTCCTTTGTATAGACAGGCTTAATTTTATCTGCTTTTTAAAACATATACACATTGGTCATTACTCCAATCCACAAGTACAACTGTTTTGTTGCTGAGGTAGGTTTCTAGGATGATGTTTTAAAAGCCAGCACAAAGGATCATGGAAATGTAATTTCCAAAGACTTCGAAAAAAAATTATCCCAACTTAGCAGAAATCCCAGGCCTCTTTCATTATTCCTATGTTCTATCCCTGGATTTCTGTTGGCAGTGATAAGTTCATGACCGTGTCCTACTTCCCAGACTGTGAAGCACACCCTTCAATTTCACTAACAGCTTGCTTCAGATCTTCTATGATGGCATCTACATCCTCCTTTGATGTTGCACGTCCCACACTCAAGCGAAGTGCGTTCTCTGCCACCTGATATGGAATGCCACTGTTTAGCAAAATATGTGAGGGCCTGGAAAAATAAGACTGATGGTTACAGGAGGACGTGAGAGGGTGAAAGAAAATACATGCATTCAGCCCACCAAATCAACCCCACTTTTTTTTCCATTCACAGGATAAGGGTGCCGCTGGCTAGGGCAGCATTTATTGTCCATCCCTAATTGTCCTAAATTCTTCCCGAAAGGGCATTAGTTAATTAGATGGGTTTTCTCAACAATTGACATGGCCTCATGATCATCATTAGACCCTTAATTCTAGATTTTTGTTGAATTCAAATATTGCCATCCACTGTGGCAGGATTTGAACCCAGGTCCCCAAAACATTACTGGGTCTCTGTGATAAGACCACTTGGCCATTGCCTCCCCATTCACACAACATGAGCTGAACTCCAAGATAAAAACTTAAATAAATAATTCTTCACTTGTCGGAAACCATTAAGTAATTGATTACAAGCTGAAAAAATGATGATAAATAATTATGGTACTCCCTGATGTATGCTCAGTCAGAATAGAGTGGGCACCATCTGGCTACAGAAGATAACAAAGCTAAAAGACCACCTGAGGAGGTAGACTTAAGGAGGACCTCCAAAAGCGAGACACCACCTAAGCTAGAGTGAAAGAGATCGCAACGGACCAGGGCTGGTGGTAATGTCTTGCTGCCCATTGTCCCACACGCGACAGAAAGAACCAAGTCTAATTACTGTATTAGACCAGCTCAGAGGTCATAAGTTCAAATCCTGTCACGCTGAGGTGTGGAACTGAAATCAGTAAGTTCGAGAATTTATGGGAAAAAGAACTTGCTGGACTGTCCAATACAGCTAATGAGTTCACTAATGCCTTAAAAAGGGAACGTGCCACTTCTGATCAACGCCACCCACTCTTTTCCAAAGCTGGGCCAAGACTACAACATCAACCTGTGTTCACAGCTTCATTATTCAGTCCAGACTGCTTGCTATGCAAAAATGCCCAGAAAGCATAGTAGATGAAGGGAATGATTAATGCCTACTACCTGTATTTTTGTTTGAAACCTCTAATCCAATTCTTAACCAGATATTATTCCAGTTATTCTTGAAAGGGGTTTCACCAAGAACGTACTTGTTTGTCCAGGAGTTATTTTCATTTCTCTGGAGAAAATTCGTATTGCTTTCTCCAGACTTGCTTGAAGCCCATCAATTGAATTCTTGGCTGACCGGTTTTCTACGAAGAAAAATAAATTGCCAACCCTAATCCCATCTAACCCACCTACATTTATCTACTTCGCTACAAGGTTCCTTTGTCCAGATCCTACTATCCTGAAAGGACATCCAGTTCTGGTTCTGATCCTGTATTTTGTTCTTGACTTGGGTTTGGCAGTTTGTGCATTTGCTCTACATGGAGTGTGTTCTAAGATATTGGTGACTGATGGAGCCTAAAGGAGCAAGTAGCAAGCTGGAGCTGCCAGGTCACCACTCTGACTTTCATGTGAGGAACTGCTAATGCATGCAAATAAGCCTCTTGCCGCTTACTACTGAGGATCGCGTCTCGCCATTCAACACTTGGTTAGCAAATGGGATTTTTTTGCTCTCAACTTTGGGAAGCTTCTCATTGGCTACTTTATACGTTTCTTCCAAATTTCTCACCACTGCCCATATCATTTGGTGCAGGGAAGATTTTGGATTTTAAAATCACAGTCTTTACTGCGACATGCACAGATCAGCTGCATGCCTTCAGTCTCCAACAAGACAGATCAGGGAGGGAACTTACGGAGAGCAGCAACATCCGTCAGCAGTGTGGAAAGGACAGTGGGCAACAGTACTCAGTTATATGGCTGAAACCTGATATTATTTGCTTGGAATTAAAATGACAATAGGTCATGCTGCTGAAAATAGAAATTGGTCTTTAACTAAACAGAAACTTTCCGCTTATTAAACTATTCCCACTAATTTTTTTTTCAATCTTTTTAAATAGGCACAATAGAAAATTTTCAAAATCCTAATCTAAATTGTAAATACAGTTGTCATACAGCAAGGTGTATGAGGAAGGCGGTGATGACAAAAATTTCTGAGACTATTCTGCCACCTATTCCAGAATCACAGGAGTGAACTTGGGACCTCTTACCTATTGCCTTTGTCTGAATGGCAAGCAGCTCCAACACTAGCCAACAGCCTTCGACAATGTAACAGCACTTTCCGACCTGGCACACAATGGAACAGTCATTGTAGCACAATGCATTCATAATAGTGATTCAAACATTCCCCAACCTTGTGCCTTTAGCGTGTTCATAATTACACTAAAAGCCTGACTTACTAACACTAAGAAAATAGTTCTGCCATTACCTTGCAGGTTAGGCCCCAAAATAGACAGGTTGCACGTGTTAGGCAATCTCTCTGAGCCCTCAAAGTGACTGTTGAAATGGAGTCTATCCTTCCCAAAGACAATCTACAACAAGAACAGAAAAAGATCAAGATATACATTTTACTCATTAATTATGTAATATACAGCAATAACATAAATAATAGATTCAACAATTCTCTTCAATACAATCTCAATAGACTAATCATTTCCTAGCCAACTTCCTGTGATGAAACCACTTTATGCATCCAAATACACAGTCTAATGGACTAATCACATCCTGTTATCATCTGCAACCCACTGTGATGTGTATAGCCTGGCAACCTAAAGAAATGACACATTGTGACCATCTGTTTATTTACAAAGTCTGCCAGTGTTTCCTTTTCACTGTAATTTTATTATCTGCCTCTGCCTTTCTATTCAGGTTTTACAATGCTGCAATATTCAGTATTGGCCATGACAGAATTTAAGAAATACGAGTTGACCCCTCGAGCCTGCTGTAACATTCAATATGATTACAGCTGACCTTCTGCCTGTTCCTCAAATCCCCTTCTTTCCGAGAGAGATTTAAAATATATCCTTCCCGCATCAACAACTCAGGGACAGGAAATTCTAAAGATTCACAACCCACAAGTAAAGAAGTTGCACCTCATCTCAGTCCTCAATGTTTAAATTCCTTACTCTGAGACTCTGGCCTGTGTTTTAGTTTCTTCAGCCAGGGAAACTATCCTCATTTCCACCATATCAAGACCTTTCAGAATCTTGCATGTTTCTGTTAGATCATCTCTCATTTTTCTGACCTCCAGTGAATTAAGGTTCAACTTACTCAGCTTCTAATCACAGGCCAACTGTCTCACCCCATTAATTAACCTAAAGAACTTTTGTTGTACTGCTTCCAAAAGAAGTTTATCCTTCCTTAATCAGGGAAACCAAAACTGGGCACAGCACTCCAACTGTGGTCTCACCAAAACCTGCACAATTATAATAAGATTTCCAGTCACACCACAATAAAAGTAAACATATTACTGCCATCTCAATTACTTGTCGTACCGGCATACTCGTTCTGCATGCCGCTCGAAAGTGCATGCAGTCTCCCCAAACATTCTTGATTCTGAATAACAAAACAAATTATGACAAATTCACGTTCTTGAGTTACTTATTCCCTTCTTCTCCTCCATTGGTACTAACACTTGTTGTGCTAACCTTCCAAGAATGATAGCAGCATCATGAATATCATCCAAATGGATGTTTTCTGGCTGTAAGTTCAGTCAGCGAATATCATTTTGCTCAACCAGAGGGCCCTAGCTTTTTCTTATTTCTAGAAAGCAACACACAAAGAGTTGTAGGAGTGAACTATTCAGCCTGTCGAGCCTGTTCAGTCAATCAATACGATTGTGGCCAAATTGATTGTGGGCTCAACACCACGTTCCTGCCTACTTCTGATAATCGCAATCAATCAAAAATCTATCAAACTCTACCTTCAAGTATTTAATGACTATCCTTCCACCACCTTCTACAGAATAGAAATACAAAGCTCTCAACCCTCAGAAAACAAATGTGCCTTGTCGCCAACTTAAATGGGATTCCCCTTATTTTTAAACAGTGTCTCCAAGTTATCCTCAATTGATACATACCAAAGCTCAGTTTTACTCACTGGTTAATAATCAGAAAGAAACCTCAGTGATATTTTAACTCCTCACCCGAACAGAGTGGCAGCACCACAACTGTGATCAGTAGCATCAGTAGCATCAGCAGCAATACTACAGGTTGAGCTGGTGGGGTCCTAAAGCACATAGCTGTAAGACTGGGTCTGCGGCAGGTGGTGAGGGAACCAACAAGGGGGAAAAACATACTTGACCTCACCCTGACAAATCTGCCAGCTGCAGTTGCATCTGTCCATGACAGTATCGGTAAGAGTAACCATTGCACAGTCCTTGTGGAGGCGAAGTCCCGCCTTCACATTGAGAACAATTTCCATTGAGTTGCGTGGCACTATTACTCTGCTAAGTGGGACAGGCTTCGCACAGATCTAGCAACTCAAGACTGGACATCCATGAGGTGCTGTCGGCCTTCAACAGCAGCAGAATTGTACTCCAGCACTATCTGTAACCTCATGGCCTGGCATATCCCCCACTCAACCATTACCATCAAGCCAGGGGATCAATCCTGGTGCGATGGAGAGTGCAGGAAAGTATGCCGGGAGCAGCAACAGTTATACCTGAAGGTGAGGTGTCAACCTGGTGAAGCCACCAAACAAGACTATTTGCATGCCAAACAGCAAAAACAGCAAGTGACAGACAGAACTAAGCGATCCCACAACGAACGGATCAGATCTAAGCTCTGCAGTCCTGCCACATCCAGTCGTTAATGGTGGTGGACAATTAAACAACTCACTGGAGGAGGAGGCTCCACAAATATCCCCATCCTTAATGACAGAAGAGCCCAGCACATCAGTGCAAAAGATAAGGCTGAAGCATTTGCAGCAATCTTCAGGCAGAAGTGCCCAGTGGATGATTCCTCTTGGCCTCCTCCAGTGGTCCCCAGCATTACAGATACCAGTCTTCAGCCAATTCGATTCACTCCACGTGATAGCAAGAAACGGTTGGAGACACTGGATACTGCAAAGGCTGCAGGCCCTGACAATATTCCAGCGATAGTCCTGAAGACTTGTCTCCGGAACTTGCCGCTCCCCTAGCCAAGCTGTTCCAGTACAGTTATAATACTGGTACCTTCCCGGCAATGTGGAAAATCGCCCAAGTATGTCCTATACACAAAAAGCAGGACAAATCCAACCCGGCCAATTACCGCCCCATCAGTCTACTCTCAGTCGAGTGATGGAAATTGTCATAAACAGTGCTATCAAGCAGCACCTGCTCAGCGATAACCTGTTCAGTGATCCCCACTTTGTGTTCTGCCAGGGCCACTCAGCTCCTGATCTCATTACAGCTTTGGTTCAAACAAGGACAAAAGAGCTAAATTCCAGAGGTGAGGTGAGAGCGACAGCCCTTGACATCAAGGCTGCATTCGACGGATTGTGCCACGAAGGAGCCTCAGCAAAACTGGAATCAATGGGTATCATGAAGCAAACTCTCCAGTGGTTGGAGTCATACCTGACACATAGGAAGATGGTTGTGGTTGTTGGAGGTTAATTACCTCAGCTCCAGGACATCTCTGCAGGAGCTCCTCAGGGTAGTGTCCTCGGCCCAACCATATTCAGCTGCTTCATTAATGACCTTCCCTCCACCATAACGTCTGAAGTGGGGATGTTCGCCGATTATTGCACAATGTTCAGCACCATTTGCAACTCCTCAAATACTGAGGCAGTCCATGTTCGAATGTAACAAGATCTGGACAATATCCAGGCTTGGGCTGACAAGTGATATTCATGCCACACAAATGCCAGGCTATGCCCATCACCAATAAGAGACAATCTAACCATCACCCCTTGATATTCAATGGCATTACCATCACTATCAAAATCCTGGGGGTTACCATTGACCAGAAACTCAACTGGACTCATCACATAAACACAGTGGCAACAAGAGCAGGTCAGAAACTAAGAATACTGCGACAAGTAACTCCCCTTCTGACTCCCCAAAGCTTGTCCACCATCTACAAGGCACAAGTCAGGACAGTGATGGAATACTCCCCACTTGCCTGGATGAGTGCAGCTCCAACAACACTCAAGGAGCCTGACACCATCTAGGACAAAGCAGTCGGCTTGATTGGCACTACATGCACAAACATCCACTCCCCCCACCACCAATGCTCAGTAGCAGCAGTGTGTACTATCGATGAGATGCACTGCAGAAATTCACCAAAGATCCTCAGACAGCACCTTCCAAACCCATGACCACTTCCAGCTAGAAGAACAGGGGCAGCAGACATACGGGAACACCACCACCTTCAAATTCCCCTCCAAGCCACACACCATCCTGACTTGGAAATATATTGCTGTTCCTTCACCGTCGCTGGGTCAAATTCCTGGAATTCCCTCCCTAATAGTGTTGTGGGTCAACCCATAGCAGGTGGACTCCAGGGTTCAAGAAGGCAGCTCACTACCATCTTCTCAAGGGCAACTAGGGATGGGCAAGAAATGCTGGCCAGCCAGCGACACCATGTCCCACAAGTGAATAGAAAAAAAAAAATTAGCTCAACCAATAAAGAACAAGATTCAAAGTGGGACCATTGGTCTGTATGATTTATTGGTGCACTGAGCAGCATTTTACACAGAAAACTATTAGGACACCTGTATGATATTTTAACAACTGTACTATTCACTTGGGTAGTCAGTTTATCATAGTACAACACACATGTAAAACATTCACCACAAATGCTCATATGAACATAAACATTGCTAGATCAAAGATCACCAAAGTTAGTCTAGTTCACCTTTTGCTATCTTTTCGATTCACATGATGCAACAAAGGAGTTGCTAACTATTCATTGCAATCAATCTTCTATCAATTAGTCTATAAACAACACAGGGATCAGGAGAAGAAAACCTCCAACATTGGGATCCATAGATCCAAAACCAACTGACGTTCCCAAAGAGTTATGTATACTCCTGAACTGTACTGTTTTATTTTGGGGGTTGGTTTAGATCAGTTGCTGGACAGACACAGATTGATGCCAATGGTATTGGTTCAATTCCCATAACGACTGAGGTTACCATGAAGGACTCTCCTTCTCAACCTCTCTCCTCACCTGAGGTACAGTGACCCTCAGGTTAAGATCACAGAATCCCTACATTGTGGAAGCAGGCCATTTGGCCCATCAAGTTCACACCGACCCTCCAAAGAGTTTCCCACCCAGACCCACCCCCTACCCCTGCATTCCCCATAGCTAATCCACCTAGCCTGCGCATCTTTGGACTGTGGGAGGAAAACGGAGCACCCGGCGGAAACTCACACAGACACGGGGAGAACGTGCAAACTCTACACAGACAGTAGCCTGAGGCTAGAATTGAACCCAGGTCTCTGGAGCTGTAAGGCATCAGAGCTAACTACTGAGCTACTGTGCCACCCCTAAATCACCAAGTCGTCTCTCTAAGAAAGCAGCCCTATGGACTGGTAAGACTATGGTGACTTCACTTTAAAATATTATTTAATTATTTCTAAACATTCACACATACCAACAGTTTCTCTTCCAGATAATCCCTCACTTCTTGCATATGACTGGCATATGCCTCGAGATTCCTGACTACCAATTCAGCAGCCTGAGGAAAGAGATCAGTAAAATGAAGTCGAAGTCCATAAATTATAACAGTTTTTTTTTACGAGCTCCTGTTTGTTTAGCAGAGAAAGGATTATAACCTCCTTCCATTCTCTCAGCAGGGTTAGGATTATCCATTATACATTGTGCAGTTTCTGCTCACTTAACATGGTGAGGGACACTTGCTATTTCATGTACAGAATTCAGTATATTTAAAATAATAATGTTCAATAAGATAATAGAGAAAATGAATAAGGGATGTGGTTGATATGTACAGAGACATTGAAAAGAAGTTTGATCCCCCCACAATACAACACAGGGTTAGCAAAGTTGAAAGCCATCATAATAAAGAGACAGTGCCAAATTGTATACAAAATTGGTGAAGAGTAATATGTCAACAGTATTGGTGAACCGTTATTTTTCAGACTAGAGGGTAATAAGCAGTGGTATCCCTTAAGCTTGTTGTTGGGACCAAAACTGTTTTTGATTATACCACAATGACTTGGACATAGAGGAAATGATTTCATAGTAGTAGATAATGCTAAACTTGGAAGCATAGGAAACAATGAGGAAGACAACGACAGCTGTGGACAGACTGGTGAAATGGACTGACATAAAATAGTTCGCATTCAGTGCAGTGAACTGAGAGTGATTTATTTTAATGAGAGGTAGTATAAATTAAATAACAGTTTTAAAGGGGCCACAGGAACACAGGTCTTTGAAGGTGGCATATAAAGTTGAAAAGACTGTTAAAGCAATATGGGATCCTTAGCTTAATCAATAAGTTCAAAGTACAATTGTAAGGAAGTGATGCTAAATCTTCATTATGCATTGGTTTGATTCCAGCTACAATATTGAGCCAAATTCTAAGCATCACATTTAAGAAGCCATTTGAAGTCTTGTAATAGGCATAGATGAGGCTTACCACACTGGAATGAGGGATGAAAGCCTTTAGTTATACTCCAGAGTCAGTGGTTCAAATATATGATTCCACTTAGAACAGAGAGCAAGAACCTGGCTGTCTCTCTGTAGGAGGTGAATATAGACACATATAAGTCCAGAAAAGATCATTGCTGCCTCTTTTACAATGAGTGAAAGGGTTCACCTTATCTTGACAAAAGCAAGATTCAGCCTGCAGAATGGCAAATTTAGAAGAGGACTGCTTTTGCAGACCTAAAATAGTGGACACCTATCCTATAATCATATGGTGTGGACAAAATTTAATGTGTTATTTACCTTCCCAAGTCCTGCGATCATTGGTGTGTTTTCTGTACTGGAAAGAGATTGCAATACAAATAGAGAGGTTAAGTATTGGATTTACCATTTATATATTCACTAAAACATATGTAGTCCATTCAAATCAGTCATGATATCCTTAATTCCTACCAAGGAAGTGACGAAAATTTTAAACTTCAATTCTTGGGTAAAAAAATGGGCACAAGTGAATCAGACCTAAACCAAATCTGTCATTACGGTCATATCAACCTATCTGATAGGATCATTACATAGCTGGATTCTTAGAGTGACTACAGAAATTTTATGCAACTTTAAGGGAGTGAACTGAACAATGGGGGAGTTAGATAAAAAAGAACTTCAGGGCTTCAGTTACAAAATGCCAATTCAAGGAAAAGGATAAGGCAATGGATACACAGACGAAACCAAATATTGCTGCTTCAAGATAGTTGAGGTTCCTCCCTGTTTGGGATAAGCAGCAGAAAAGGATTGTGAAATTTCTTCTAGAGCAGCAATAATGATAAAAATTCCACATGCTTTATGGAAGAGGGAAAGAACACTGGGTGCTAAGTGACAGGACAGAAGGAAAAGTAAAAACAGAGGGGAACAGTGTTAAAAGTAATTTTTTAAACTCATTGCATGAAAACACGTGCTGGTAAACTAAAAATAAAGTCAGTCAACTGTAGGAAAGGAAGTTCATGATTGAATAAAATTTAAAGATAAAGTCTATTGAGTTGCCAGAAAAGCTGTAAATCTGATGATTGGCAGGTTCTTCCAAAGGAGGACTAAGAACCTGATAAGAAAAGGGATAATAGCATATGAATGCAATAATGCAAAAATCATAAAAACACATTGTAAAAGCTTTTACAGATGTGTAAAAAGGAAACTTTTGACTAAAATAAACATGGATCCATTGAAGGCAGAGTCAGCAGAATTTATAATCAGGAATAGACAAGTGGCAGACAGGCTAAATTATTACTTTGTCTCTGTGTTAAGTGAGGAAGATTCAAGGAATCTCCCAGAACTAGACATATAAATGGTTAGGGAAGATCAGGGTTTGAAGGAAATTAATACTAGTAAGAGGATTATACTGGAGAAATTAATGGGGCTGAAAGTACATAAATTCCCTGGATCTGATATTCTACATCCCAGAGTGTTGAAGGATATGGCCACAGAGATAGTCAATGCATTGGTGATTACGTTCTGAAGTTCTACAGATTTGGAAATAAGGCCTGGAGATTAAAAGGCAGTAAATCCTACTTCACTCTATAACCCCAACAAGCTCGAGATTGAAACTACAAATCAAATTCTAACTGCAATTCATTGCTAAACTCAGCTGTGAATCAGCTTCATACATCGCTCAAGTATAATTTAAGGTCAGAAGAGGAGTTAACTGTTCTGCGCTTTTCCATAGAACTTACCCTGGCCTGAATTTCCTTTCTTGGCCACCACCAAAGAACATCGGGTATAAAGGTGAGCTTGTGCCTGGCCCTGTTACATACAGGGCTCCGATCCGTGGGCCGTAGAACTACAAGAGCAAGACACAAACAGATAGCAAAAGCTTCTTTAAACACATAAATGGAAGACAGAAGCCAAAGTTAACATTGGCCCCCAACAGAATGAGGCTGAGGAAATAATAATTGGGAATCAGGAAACTACTATCATCTCAAAATGACTAAATATTCAAGGGTAAAAGGACAGGGAATAAATACAAAAACTACCACCCAAAAACAAAAGTGCTAGGAAAACTAATAGAGCTAAAGACCGATAAATTGCTGGACCTGATGGATGTATCCCAGGATATTAAAGGAAGTAGTTACAGACATAATGGACGCACTGGCAGTAATCTTCCAGGAATCCATAGATTCTGGAAAAGTCCCAGAGGATTGGAAAACTGCCAAAGTGACACCCTTATTTAAAATGGGAAGGAGACAAAAAACAGGAAACTATAGACGAGTTAGCATAATATTTGGAAAATGTTTGAGTTTATTGTAAAAGGATGCAATAGCACAACATTAAGAATTACACATATGATCCAGCAGAATTAGCATGGCTTCATGAAGGCATAATCATGCCTGATAAATTTACTAGAATTTTAGGATAGATAAAGGGGAAAGAATGGACTTAAAATATTTGGATTTTCAGAAGGCATTTGATTAAAGTACCAAGCATTGGGCTACTTAAGATATCTTCATGGTATTGGAGTTAGGACTTTAGCATGGATACAGGCTTGGCTAACTAATAGAAGGCACAGTTGGGTTAAGTGGGGTATTTTGAGGATGGCAATCTGTGGCTAGTGGAGTGCCACAGAGATGAGTGCTGGGGCCACCATTATTTACAATATATATTGATGACTTGGGTGAGGAAAGTGAATGTATTGTAGCCAAGCCTGGGATGATACAAGTATAGATGTGAAGGCAAGCAGTGAGGATGACACGAAGAGTCTACAGAGAGATATAGATACGTTAATCAAGTGGGCAAAAACTTGGCAGATGGTATAGTGTGGGAAAATGTAAGGCTATTCACTTGAGCAGGAAAAATAGATAAGCTCAATATTATTTAAGTTGAGAAAAATGACAGAAAGCCACATAACAGGAGGATTTGGAAGTCTTTGTCTATAAGTCATAAAAACTAACATCAAGGTTCAGCAGGTAATAAGGAAGCCAAATGGAACGGTGGCCTTTATTTCAAAGGAAATTTAGCATAAATGTAGGGAGGTTTTGCTAAAATTATCCAAGGTAGACTGTAGCTAGAATACTGTAAACAGTTTGGGCCCCTTATCTAAGGAACGACATATTGGCTTTGGAGGCAGTTCATAGAAGGCTCACTAGGCCGATACTGGTAGGGACGGACAGGCTGAATCAACTGGTCCTGCACTCATTTAGAAGACTGAGAGGCAACCTTATTGAAACAAAGAGATTCTTAGAGGACTTGACAGGGTAGATGCAGAAAGGTTGCTTTCCTATGTGGGCTAGTGTAGGACCAGAAGGGATAATCACAGAATAAAGGGGTCAGACGTTTAAGATGGAGATGAAGAATGAAGATGGATTTCTTCTCTCAGGGGGCAGTAAATCTGTCAAATTCTTTACTGCAAAGGGCTGTTGAGCCTGGGTCATTAGGTATAGTTACAGATTTTTAATCAGTAAGTAAATGAAGGGCAATAGTGAAAAGGCAATAAAGTGGTGTTGAGGATTATCAAATCAGCCATGATCTCATTGAATGGTGGAGCAGACCTACTGAACCAAATGGTTCGTTTCTGCTCTTTTATCTTATGATCTTAAACACAAATAACTTAATTCCTAGCCAAAACAAACAATCTGAAATCTGGTAGTCCAAGTTCTTCATTGTCATAGTGATTATATTTCGTTTCCTTTGCAAATTCCAATAAATTTGAGACCTCTAACTGTGTTTTAAATGCAGAGTTTCACCATCAACTTCTTTTACACTACTTGTATCATCAGTGTACACTCCATCACGGATACAATATATACATTAAACGTCTATCAGTTGCAAAAAAGGACTGGGAGATTATTGAGGAATAATCTGATTACTGAAAGACACAGTAACTGTGTGTATGAAGCAAGTTCATGTAGGCCATTTACTGAATAAATCCAACATGCTCATCAGGGCTAAATATATTTTATAATATTAATGGAGACATTAAGAAGTGTGCAGGAGCAAATGGAATTGGTGATCAATCAGCTATTTGATAGGTACAACATATAACGATATGTTGGTCTTCGTCACCAAGGGATTGGGATGCAAATTGAGAAGCACACTTGTATACACATGCTAGCTCAGACTCCATTCATTGTTGAGCAACAAACCTCAGGAATGATGTTGGTCTTGGAAACAGTATTGGGCAAGTTACATGTGTTTTTTATCTTTTTAATTTATACAGTTGAAATTGAGCGAATTGAGGTGTTTAAAATGAGTCACTGGGAAAATCACTGGACTAGTATTCCAGAATAACAGACTAATGTTCTGGCAATATGGGTTCAAATCCTACCAGGGCAGATGATGAAATTTGAATTTGATAAAAAGCTGAAATAAAATTCCTGAAGAGTGACCATGTAACCAGTGTTAATTATTATAAAGACCCATCTGGTTCATTAACATCATTCAGGGAAGGTAATTGGCCATTTCACGTGTATTCAGTCTAAAGACCTAATGCTGCCTTTTCCCGGAAAAGTGAGAGCTATTGGGTTTCTGAACTAAGAGACAACTGCCCGATAACATCATCTTAATTGGCTCCTGGGCAGTCAACCTTCGCTTGTGTGGAGTCAATAAAACAGAAGCTTTTAGCTTGCAAAAGGAAAGCACCAACTTTCTTCCTATCCCATCTCTTCAGTGAAGCAACGGAAAATCTCTTGGTAGCTGCTCTCACTCATCATTTCCCTGTAAACTACTTTCTCTGCAAATTCCCTTCCTGAAAGGAAAAAGGGGAGAAAAAATTCAGACAGGTGCCAGATGATGCTTCAGATTCTTTTCCCTTCTTCATCGACAATATTTGTGTATTGTCTCTTTGTGGATCTGTTTGTATATGTATGAGAATTTAAAAAGGGGTAGAGTTTAAATTGTTGAGTTAAAAATTAGCAATTCAAAATTCTTTCTTGCTATTAATTAGAAACAGTTTGATTAACAATAACTACTATTGTAATGAAAAATCTGGGATGCATATTCTTTTAATCTGGGTTTTGTGGTTAGGCAAAATTTGGTGATTTAACCAAATTTTCACATTTGTGACAACTCCAGGAACAGTGGAACTTGATTTCCAGAACACTACCTCAGTGAGTTCTGATAGCATCAAGTTAGTGGAAATGTAGAACTGTCTTTTTCGAAAGACTGTGCATGCCGGGGGTGATGGGGGAAACTAAATGGAGTTTTGAAGACTAAAATCAATAAGAATTTTGTTAGGTAAAGATCCAGACGAAAGTCTGGGATCACAGCGAAGCACATGAATGTAGAGCAGGTTGTGACTACTGTGAAGATTGGAAGCAGCACGATGCAAATTTGAATCATTGTGAAAACAGACGAGGAGGAGCGTGTAGTATCCTGGAGTCACTATTAAAAGTAGACCAAGAAAAGGAATGTAAAGCTGGTTGGGACTGCTTTAAGCAGACCAAGCAGTTTGGGGGTCACTGGAAAGCAGAAAAAAAATTATTTGGCTCGAGCTAAGGAACAAAAAAGTGCAGTTATATTGCTTGGTGGAGTGTGTCGAACACCCAATTAGTGGGAAAGATAGAGGTTTAAATTTCTAGGGAAATTACAGGAAATACAAGAATTACAGTGCAGTTATAATGGAGCTACTTCAATGATCATATCACAGAATCCCTACAGTGTGGAAACAGGCCCTTTGGCCCAACAAGTCCACACTGACCCTCAGAGCATCCCACCCAGACCCATTCCCGTATAACCCACCTAATCTACACATTCTTGAACACTACGGGCAATTTAGCATGGCCTATCCATCTAGCCTACACATCTTTGGACTGTGGGAGGAAACCAGAGCACCCGGAGGAAACTCACACAGACACAGGGAGAATGTGCAAACTCCACACAGACAGTCGCCTGAGGGTGGAATCGAACCTGGGTCCCTAGCACTGTGAGGCAGCAGTGCTAACCACTGAGCCACCATGCTGCCCTGACAATAAGAGCTCGTCCGGGATTTATTATCTGAATATAAATGGAATAGTAATAGTGCTAAGGGCAGAGAGGCAAAAGCTCCTAGAGTGTGTTGCTTAAGTCCAATATCCTGAACATTCAGCCAGGAAGTGACTGAGTTGCACAAAAAGTTCAAAAGACTGAATGGCCTCATCCTGATCCCATATTGCACATGAACATACAAATTAGGGAGAGCAGACCATTTGGTCCTTCAAGCCTGATCCTCCATTCAATAAGATCATGTGATCATTTTGTTCCAAATTTCACACTGCCATCTATCCCCAGTAATTTTGATTCTGTTGCCTAACTAGAATCCATCAATAGCTTATAAAGTATTCAATGATTCCATCTACAACATCTTCTGAAACAGTATATTCCAAAGTTGAATAATCCTCAGAGGAAAAAAAAAATCCCCTTGTCAACAAATCTAGTTCACCAGCCTATCACATTAAACTGGGCTCATAGACATATTTTACCTTGTGTCCTACGATTGTGAGATAATCCACACCAAGATCCAACACATCGACCCGCAGCTTGCCGATTGCCTGCGCTGCATCTGTGTGCAGCAAAATTTGGGGTGTTTCTGGGCCTCTTTGTTGATTCAGACATTTCACTCGTTCACAAATCTTTGCAATGGGCTGTAATCGAGCAATTTCCATTGAAACTTGTTACTGTGTTCATGACGAGGATGCAATACAAAATATATATAATTGGGAAACAGAACTGAGCCAGTCACTTAAATCATTTCATCCAATGGTGTTGTCAGGAATATGCTGCTGCACCGTACAGTAAATACAATGCTATTTAATACAGAAAACAGGAATTAGATCGATTCTCTGTTTAACTGGAACTAGTTAATGAAGCATTTAATATATAGGGAGAGCGCAAGCTAACGTTTCAAGTCCAGATGACTCTTCATCATCAGCTCTGATGAAGAGTCATCTAGACCCGAAACATTAGCTTGCTCTCTCTTCATGGATGCTGTTTGACCTGCTGTGATCTCCAGCATTTATTGTATTCAGTAAAGATTCCAGCATCTGCAGTGATTTGCTCCTACATCTAATATATAGCCCTTATGCAAAAGGCAGCTAGCAAGACCAAACAATGTGGTCAAATAAATAAAACCAAAGTACTGTAGAAACTCAGCAAGTCTGGCAGCATTTGAGGAGAGAGAAACAGTCAACATTTCGAGTCTGATATCACTCTACTCCGTGAGAGTCTAAGTTCTGAAGAAGAGTCATATTGAACTCAAAACAGTCACCTTGCTTCTCTCTCCACAAACACTGCCAGACTTCGAGTATCTCCAGTGCTTTTTGTTTTTATTTCAGATTTCCAGCATTCACATAATATTTTGCTTTTAATGTGGCCAAAGACCTATTAACTCATAAATTTGCGCTTTGTTTTTTACTCAATGATTTATCTAGCAATCTTGGTTCACCAGTGGATGAATCCACATGTTTGTATCTTTGAGTTGAAAGACACAAGATTTAAACTTGGGTGGGTGTGGCAGGAGGAGTTGGGGGCGGTGGTAGAGAGATTGTCATTCAACCCAAATGGTTCACTAATGTCTTAAGGGAGCGAAATCTGGGATCCTTACTTAGTCTGGCTTACACATGAGTTCAGGTCCACAGCAAAATTGTTGACTCTCAGCTGCTGTCTGTCGTGCCCGTGCAAGCCATAATTGTGTCAAGAATAAGGGCTACTAGTACATTCTCAGACAGATATAGGCAAGGAATAGTAGCCCTGACACTCACTTCCTGAGAATGAAATAAAACCATAATTACCATCAGAATTCCTGTCTCGTTGTTAGCAAGCATAACAGAAACAAGGCAGGTGGTTGGCCTGACAGCAGCTATTAGATCATCCACTTCAACGCATCCGGTTGTCTTGGAAACAGGTAAAAACGTAGCTTCTGAAATGAAGAAAAATAACAATCCCTTCATTTAAAAGCTCCCGTGATATAAACTTTTATCATAAAGCTCAAAATCATTTCATTTGTAACCAGCTAAGAAACTTTTCACCAACTTTTAGCAGCTGCTGCCTTTTCTCTGGCTCTGAAGTGTATTTTCCTGTACTGGTCAGATACACTTAAGCAATTTCCCAATTCCTAACAAAGTGCTTATACAGTTCCCAAAATACCCCTGCACCCTCAGCTCCACGCATGCTGCAACTGTTCCAACCCAATCTCAGCCAGCAAGAAGGCAAAGACCAGCCAGGTGAGGAACTATCACGTATCTATCTGTGTAATAGAAAGGTGTATGATCTCTGCCTCAATAATTATCTGGTGTTTCACAAGGAAAGTCCCTATTACTTTCAACACTTTCTCTAACTCAACCTCACTGGATGAGTTTTTATTTTCCTTCTGTGAAGCAAAGCTTGGGGAGGGGGGTGAACTGGGAGGAGGATGCAGAGATATTTTAGTGTGATTTAGGCAAGTTGAGTGGGTAAATACATGGCAGAAGCATAATTTGGATAAATGTGAGCTTTTCTGTTTTGGTGGCAAAAACAGGAAGGCTGATTGATATTTCAATGGCAATAGTTTGGGAAAGAGGAGGTGCAACTAGACCTGGGAGCCTGGAGCCGTTGTATACTAGTTGCCAAGTGCAGCAGGCGGCAAAGGCAGCAAATGGTATTTTGGCCTTCACAGATAGGATTCTAGCACAGGAAGAGAAATGCCTTGCTGTAATTGTAAGGGCCTTGATGAGAACACACTTGCAGTAGTGTGCGGGCCTTTAGTCTCCTTACCTGAGGAAGGGTTGCTGGCTATGGAGAGAGTGAATTGAAGATTTACCAGACTTACATCTGTGGTGGAAGTACTGATAACATGAACAGAGACGATCAGTCAGGACTATCGTAACAGGAGTAGAGACTAACGAGGGGGGTTTCTCACAGAAACCTATGAAATTCTAACAGGACTAGACAGGGCTAATGCAAGAAGAATGTTCTGTTTACCGGGATGTCCAGAGCCAATGGTCGTAGTTTAAGGCTACATGGTAGACTATTTAGGACTGAGATGAGGAGAAATTTCTTCAACCTGACAGTGGTGAGCCTGTGGAATTCTTTGATACAGAAGGCAGTTGAGGCCAAAACACTGGATGTTTTCAAGGAGTTAAATATAGTATTTTGGGCTAAAAGGATCAAAGGGTAGGAGAAGAACGTGGGAACAGGGTACTGAGTTCTCAGCTCTGGGCTTGTTCAAAATGATCCCTAAACCCATAATCTGACTCAGATGCAGGAAAGCCACACTGATCCAAGACTCAATCACCTCTGATGAGAGATAAAAGATCATTTGTTTCTAATGCACCATGACACCAAGAGGAAAAGAAATAATCTTGGAAGAGGACATCAAGGTGACAGCAAGCTCCTCCAGTGACAGGGTATGGAATGTAGATTATCAACCATCAGTGACTTTTTAAAGAAAGTAGTGAGATTGATAACCTGCTCTTACTTCCTATAAACAACTAACACAATGGCAGAATATTAGACATATGTTTACAGTTAAGTATTACATAATTTGGCATAAGGCAGAGCAATACCGGCTCACCTGCTTTCTCCTCCTTGATCAGATTGTCCACCACAAGTTGCACTGAATCATGCTCAATGTTTGATGTAATGATGTGAGGTAATGGCCTAGCCATCCAATCAGTCTCCGTACTACCACAGCTGCACGTCAGCTGGCGCTGGTGGTCCCAATAGTATTTGATTGCCGTATGAAAGACTAGATTGTTAGCCTGGAAAAAAAAAGGATACTCATAAATTCTGCCTTTGTGCAAAGCTAGCAATGTAAAACTCCAGGTATTGATTTTGGGGTGGGGTGGCATACAGAACAAGGGAATTTTGGATTCAGTGTCAGTACTGAGCACTCTGCGTTAGGTACTGTGTAGGCGAGATATACAAAAAATCTCTTTCTATAATATTTTACTAAGCATGTGTGTTTGAAAGTCTCCACAACTTTCTCTCTTCCCTATCTGGAAGGATGCTCCATCCTGAATGAAATGAATATCAAACCAACTCTTAAAGTGCATTATCCCAAGGAAGAGTTTGTAATTTGTTGCACCCCACTCAAGGAAACCATCAAACCATCAACACATCCAGAGTTGAATGTTATGCAAATTTACAATGTTGGTTCTTGCCTTGTATAATTGCTATGGATTATGGAGCGGTGAGAGGGCCAGAAGTGGGATGGTAGAGAGTTGGGTGGAATTGGGGGTGGGGTTGCCTTACATGTGAGCACATAATATAGGCAGTAACCACAACAGGGACTTACAATCAAATTTATTTTGGATTCCTCTCACCTCCGTTCCACCAGAGGTGAAAACGATATCTTCTGGCCGACCTCGAACCATTTGAGCCACACTCTGTCTTGACCAATCTATCAGCTCTTTGGCTTTCTTACCTAATCATAATTTAGATACACGAAGAAAACAATTTGTCTTTATTTGCTATAGAACAATTCTGTTCGAGCCTTTTCCACTTATAACACTGGCAAGGGAGTAGTGAAAAGGAGGAATGTGCATTTAATGCAAAAATTTAAAAAATTTAAAAAGCAAGAGTCTTCTCTATATTGGAAACAGCTCTCAAAATTCACATTCAACAGTGCACTGTCTCCTTGCTCAGTATACGTACTGCCAGTGTAGAAAGGCCTGCCAAAAGAGCAGCTAATCCCAGCTATGGCATCTTTCAACAAAAATATCAGGTCATGAGATTATTGCTGACAAACTCTGTGCTTTATAGCTGCATTTGTACAGCTGCTAACAGCTTGAAGCAAGCAGCTGCAGTACGAGGTCCAGCCAGAGAAAATACTGTTATTTCTATTCAGGAATTCTATTGAGCAAGATCTTGTGTAAGTACTCATGCATGCACAGAGATCACCATCAGCAATTAAAAGTTAAGATGTCAATTTTCTATGGCAGCATGGTAAGTAGAAGGAGAAGCTGTTAGAAATCACATACCTATGAGTCTACTTATCACATACCTGGAGTATAAGAACTGCTGGGATTCCCCCATGCTTCCTGCATGGCTTCAAGAACAGTTTGGATAACCTCAGCATCCACAGGCGTTGTGGCATTGTAATCCATGTAAATGCTGTTTCAAATGCAAAGTATTATTTTTACTCCATTTGTTTATTCCCCCTTCCTAAAAATGCACAGGCCCTAATCTTCAGTACGTGCCTATAATTAAGGACTGCATCATATACAAGGCATGTCATTGTGAAAGGAAATTTATAGTAAAGATATAGTAAAGCTCCTCTTTCATAAGGATCAAATATGAATATATTAAATCCAAGTTAGCTACATTAAAACATACTGAAGGAAGAGGATACCAATTTAAGGTCATTAGCAAAAGGACAGAGATGACATAAGGAAACACTATGTAGCAACTAATTAAGATCTGGAATACACTGTCTGAATGTGGTGGTGGGTCAATTGTAGCCTCCAAAGAAAATTGGATCACATAAGAGAAAAAAATCTCCAGGAGTACAGCAGAGTTGGACAAGCCAAGTTGGTCTTACAAAAAGTCATCATAGGCATGATTGCCAACTGGCCCTCTTCTGTGCTATAACTATTCTACGATAGTTTATTGGTTTAGTATACTGTGCTTTCATTCTTGGAGCAGGTCCGCCAATTCATTGTCATCTACTATCATTATTGCACAAAGGCAAAATTATTTCAGTGCTCAGTAAGCTCACTTACCAGTCAAATGAAGAGTAATTTCTTCCTATTGTTACTGTCGCATTCTGATTATTTTGAGTAACTGGAGGCCTGTCAGTGGTTATAGTGCAAGCATTCTTCTCCATTGCTGAGTACTTTACAGCCGATACAATCCTCAAAGAAAAACCGAAAGAACAGCGGATGCTGTAAATCAGGAACAAAAACAAAATTGCTGGAAAAGCTCAGCAGATCTGGGAGCATGTGTGAAGAGTTAACGTTTCGGGCCCGGTGACACTTCCTTAGAACAATCCTCAAAGAAACCTTAAGAATACAAATAAAATATCAAATTAACATTTTGAGTGTATCACAGCTGTCAGAGGGACAATGTGATGGTGAGGGCTTTGTATCAGAGACAGAGCTACATCTTTATGAAGTTATATAAAAAGCAATATCACTTCAAGAGATCATTGACCTTAACTACCCTTAATCAGGAAACACCAGCTGCTTGTAAAAGAAAATCTAAGCAAATGGCTCAGCTGGCAAGAGAAAAGAACTGAGATATGAAAAGGCAGGCTGCATTTTTGACTGATGAATAAAGTATATTTTTGAAATAAAAAAGAACATATCTGAGGGAGAAAAGAACAGAAGGATACGTTAATACGGATAAATAGGAGGATGTTTTCTGGAATTTAGCTACCAACAAAACTAGTTGGGTTGAATGACCTTGAGTGTGCTGAAAATTCTTTGCAATTCTCAGCAAGTAACCCTATTTAAATACTGTCCAACTCTGACCTTATCTCAGAAGAAAAAGAGTTAATGGTCAAGCAAATGACATAACTTAATTGCAATAAACTCCCTTGTAAAGATTCAAAACATGCCACAAAAACTCCTGCTTGTGATCTGGTCACTGTATTACTTCACCATACCCAACTATTTGAACTACTTAAATAAAGTGAGTGATAAAATGAGAAATTAAATGGAAGGTGAATGCTTGATACTACACATCTAACAGCACCTTAAGGCTAAGGCCATGCTGGATGTAGGGTTTTGGATTACCTGTTACCTGATAAATTGAAACACCGTGTGAACCAAGTGGATAGACTACACTGCAGAGTTCTAAAGGAGATAGCTGAAGAGATAGTGGAAGCGTTAGTGGTGGTCTTTCAGGAATTGCTAGAGTCAGGGAGGGTCCCAGAGGACTGGAAAATCGCTAACGTGACACCCCTGTTTAAAAAGGGAGTAGAGCAAAAGATGGAAAATTACAGGCCGATTAGCCTAACCTCGGTCGTGGGTAAGATTTTGGAGTCCATTGTAAAGGATGAGATTTCTGAATATTTGGAAGTGCATAGTAAAATAGAGCAAAGTCAGCATGGTTTCATCAAGGGGAGGTCATGCCTGACAAATCTGCTGGAATTCTTTGAGGAAGTAACGAGCAGGGTGGACTAAGGAGAGCCAATGGATGTTATCTACCTGGACTTCAAGAAGACCTTTGACAAGGTGCCACACAGAAGGCTGCTGAGTCAGATAAGGGCCCACAGTGTTAAAGGCAAGGTGCTAGCATGGATAGAAGATTGGCTGTCTAGCAGAAAGCAGAGAGTGGGGATAAAGGGGTCTTTCTCAGGATGGCAGCCGGTGACAAGTGGTGTTCCACAAGGGTCAGTGCTGGCACCACAACTTTTCCCTTTATACATTAATGACCTAGATGAAGGAACTGTGGACAGGTAGTATTGAGGTGGTGGCAGGGCTGCAGAAGGACTTGGACAGGTTAGGAGAGTGGGCAAAGAAGTGGCAGATGGAGTACAACGTGGGAAAGTGTGAGGTCATGCACTTTGGTAAGAAGAATAAAAGCATGGACTATTTTCTAAATGGGGAGAAAATTCAAAAGTCTGAAGTGCAAAGAGACTTGGGAGTTCTAGTCCAGGATTCTTTCTAGGTAAACTTGCAGGTTGAGTCAGTAGGCAGGAAGGCAAATGCAATGTTGGCATTTATTTTGAGAGGACTTGAATATAAAAACAGGGATGTACTACTGAGGCTTTATAAGTCTCTGGTCAGGCCACATTTGGAGTATTGTGTGCAGTTTTGGGCCCCATATCTCAGGAAGGATGTACTGGCCCTGGAGCGGGTTCAGAGGAGGTTCACAAGAATGGTCCCAGGAATGGAAAGCTTAACAAATGAGGAACGTTTGAGGACTCTGGGACTATACTTATTGGAGTTTAGAAGGATGAGAGGGGATCTAATTGAAACATTCAGAATACTGAATGGCCTGGACAAAGTGGATGTTGGGAAGATGCTTCCATTGGTAGGAGAGTCTAGGACCCGAGGGCACAGCCTTAGAGTAAAGGGGAGACCTTTTAGAACAGAGATAAGAAGAAACTTCTTCAGCCAGAGAGTGGTGAATCTATGGAATTCACTGCCAAGAAGGCTGGGGGGGCCAGGTCATTGAGTACATTTAAGACTGAGATAAATAGGTTCTTGATTATCAAGGGGATCAAGGGTTACAGGGAGAAAGCGGGAGAATGGCGATGAGGAACTTATCAGCCATGATTGAATGGCGGAGCAGACTCGATGGCCGAATGGCCTAATTTCTGCTCCTACGTCTTGTGGTCTTATTCCAGGTTGGTGTCTAAATTATGTATTTTAAACAAGTCCAATCCACCACTCTACATTGGATCATAAAAGGTTTGACCAGGACAGCTGCTGGATGCAACTATGAACTGTTGACATGCAACTCTACTAGTTAAAACTCTGATCCCTTTATAAAACTTCCCCTATACACACAAAGGTAGAACACAGACAGATAAAATAAAACATGGGAGTTATAGGCAGGGGGAAGGCAGATCCTATCCACAGGATTCGCTGGGATGATCCTTTTAACTCGTCAGGATTTGCTGCACCTCCATCTTCCTTCTCCAGGTACTTTTGCTTGCAGGAAGCTCAGAGCAATTATTCACAATTATTAAATTTCTGACTAAAAGCTATAGCCTACAACAACTGATAAGGAGAAATAAGCTAACATTTCAGGCTGAAAAGCTTTTTTCATGCAAACAAAAGGACAGCTCCTTCCTTTTCAAAGGTCTGAGAGGTTCTGACCAAAATCTACAAGTTGTTCCTGCAAGCCAAGAACATTGTCGTTGGCAGGTACCAACAGGTCACCAGTTCTCAGACCAATCAACTAATTGTTGCTGGCCAAATCTCCCTTCATACAGAGACCCCTGGCTCCAACTCATCTGTAGTAACCTCCCTCTCCTCTTGAACAAACAACATTTAGAATGAGCGTCAAGTGTCTTGCTTCCAAAGCCTGCAGCAATCCATTTCACTATCCTTGGTTTTTAAAACAGCCCTTTTCCCATTTTGTTCCACAACTAAAACAGCAGAAAAATAACATAAAATAACATGAAAAATAATAGTAACATGAGTTTAAAATGGATTCCAAAATTTTTGGTTGATTATGGTGTTTTTACCTTCTAATCAGTTTCCATGACAGATGTCAATGCCTACTGAAAAATAATTTACCATATCGATTGTGCCTTGGAAACAGTTGGAATTTATTCCCTGAAAGAAGGGTAACATTTCTTTCCCTGTCTCCATCCTCAACCTCCAAAATCAAGAGGAGGAAACTTGTCTCACAATAATCACTTGCAAAAGCTACTGGAAACTAGAGTAACCTTTGCCAGGAGCCCGACAGCAGCTCCGTCTGCATGTGTAAACAGTCAACAACAGACTAATATTTTGAGCGAAGGCGCCTGATCAGGACTTTTCTGCATATTTCTGCTTTTATATCAGAATTCCACAGTTCAGAATAAAATTGCCTTTCTGTATAAAGTTATACTGAAAGGAACAAAATTTTCCTCCGCCTGACTCGTAAATCTAGCTTTACACTACTTCTGAAACTGGAACAGTCTTGGTGAAAGACTACAGGCTTCCAGACATAGGATTTCTGGTCCCTTAGGGAGGTCCTGAGGATGAACGAATAGCCCTGTCAAGGGCTGAACTCCTTCATTCGAATGACCAAGTGAAGTCAACACAACAGGGAATGGTTGCAGCTTGAGTGACAGGAACCTTTCAGTGCAGACTGTTTTAATAGCCAGATTCAGTTTATTTTGCAAGTGGAGAGCGAGAGTGGGGAGATATAACTGTTAGGCATCCCACCCTGAGCTGAGCTGGCCTAGTCCAGCGATGTCCTGGCTGCCATGGCAACCCTCAGGTCTACCCGATGTAAACCGACACACAACAGCAGCCGAGATAACAAGGTGTAGAGCTGGATGAACACAGGAGGCCGAGCAGGAAAGCTGACGTTTCGGGCCTAGACCCTTCTCCAGCCCGCTTCCTTTACTTTCATCTGCTCACCTGACAGAGGAGCACCCACTCCCCTAGGTTCTTGCTGACCCGGAGAGGCTCAGCTCTTGTTGATGTACGACGGACCGTCCACCGGGAACTATCTCCCTCCACTACCCCGCCACTAGGGTGCGCGCGGCTCTCACCTGGTACACGCTTCCAATTGGAGCCTCCCAATACTGCGCCACGGACCGTGGAGGAATGGAATTACAAGAGGCCAGCAGGGTGGGTAAAGAAGGGCAAAGGGGAAAAGGGGCAGTGGGAGGTTAACAGAGGGGAGTCAGGAGGAGGAGAGGGGACATGTGTATTGGGCACTGGAGGATATAAGCATGGAAAATCGGTGCAGAAGTAGGCCGTTCAGCCCTTCTAGCCTGCACTGCCATTCTATATGATCATGGCTGATCACGCTACGTCAGTCTCCCACTCTACACCCTCTCTCTTTTGAATATATCTCACAACTGGACCCAACAACTTTCTGCAGGAAACAATTCCACTGGTTCACGATTCTCTGAGCAAAGAAATTCTTCCTCATGTCAGTCCTGAATGGCTTACCCCCTTATTCTTAGACTGTGACCCCTAGTTCTGGACTTCACTAACATCGGGAACATTTTCTCTGCATCTAGCCTGTTCCAATCCCATTAGGATTTTATATTTTTCTATGAGAGCTCCCCCCCCCACCCACCCCCAACCCCATTCTTCTAAATTCCAGTGAGTACAGACCAAGCCAATCCAATCTTTCTTCATATGTCAATCCTGCCATCCTGGAAATCAGTCTGGTGAACCTTCTGATGGATGTGTGGTGTAAGGCAGTGAGCACCTGCATGGGTTAACTGGCATTGAGATGTAAAGGCTTTGATTTTGGGAGATGCTAACCAGTCACAAGTTTGGTTTCATTTGATTTCTTCTAGTGCTACCTATGATATGGCTGAAGAGTAATGTGTATTGAACAATTAAGTTTAGCTTAAGGTCTCACTAGAGCCTATTGTGTAACCCAGATGGGAACTCAGGCAGAAGCCATTCAGCCCTTTGAGTCCATTCTGCCATTCTAGATGAAGGCTGATTATCTATCTCAATGCCACATTCCCACAATATTCCCATCATCCCTTAATGTCATTAGTAATGAGAACCGCTGTCATGAACTTACTTGGAATGAGCTGCTAGAGGAAATGTTAGAGACAGATACAATTATAACATTTAAAAGACATTTGGACAGGTACATGGATATTTGATTTGATTTATTATTGTTACATGTACTGAGATACAGTGAAAACTATTGTTTTGCATTGCTAACCATACAAATCATACCTTATATACGTACATCAGGGTAATAGAACAGAATGCAGAATATAGTGGTACAGCTACAGAGAAGGCACAGAGAAAGGTCAATTCCAGTATATGAGAGGTCCATTCATAAGTCTGATGTAAGCATGGGAAAAAGTGGTTCTTAAATCCGTTGGTACATGTTCAAAGTGTTGTACCTTCTGCCCGATGGAAGAGAATATAACTGGGGCGGGAAGAATCTTTGATTATGTTAGCTGCTTTCCTGAGGCAGCTGGAAGTATGGACAGAGTCAGTGGCAGGAAGGTTTGGAGGGTTTAGAGCAATATAGGCCAAAGGCAAGCAAATGGGACCCGCTCAGTTAACGAAACGTAGCCAGCATGGACCTGTTGGACCGAAGAGCCTGTTTCCATGCTGTATGACTGTAAGATTGGGCTTCCATAGCCCTGCTGGCAGAGAATACAAATATTCACCACCCTCTGATTGAAGAGTTTCCTCCTCATCTCAAGTCTAAATGGCTTACTTTTCATTCTGATGATTTGTTCCCTGGTTCCAGTTCACAAAGCCAAGGGAAACATCTTTTCCTCATCTACTTTGTCTGTCACATTACGAATTTTTAAAGTTTCTGTGAGAACACCTCGTAGTATAATAAGAAGGTCAATGAACTTTGCCATTCCGTGAAGATAAGTGCCAGTTTTTTCTCTCTGCAACCTCACACTCACTCTATATCGGCTATTTATCTCCCACCCAAGGCTCTTGCTCTGCCATTCTCTGCCATAGGTTCTGATTATTTTCCACTAGTCTTTTTTTTTAACACTGGGTTGTGGGCCTATGAAATGCATTGCCAGAGAATGTGATTAATCAGAGCCTATGTCAGTATTTAAGAATGAGTTAGATTTCTGTTTGAAGGAAAGAGAACTGAAATTACATGGGAAATCTAGAATATAGGTTTCTGGATAAGGAGCTAAATATTTATGATTGAGATAGTGCAACTGTTGCAACATCTTCCCTCACTTACTCCCACATCTCACAACCCTGATTTTGTTTTGAAACAAAAGCAAAGTTTAGAGCATACATGAATTATGTAAATCTCAACAGTTCAAATATACTTTTTCCCAGGGCGGAAATGACTATCACGAGGGGGCATAATTTTAAGGTGATTGGAGGAAGGTATAGGGGAGATGTCAGAGGCAGGTTCTTTACACAGAGAGTGGTGGGTGTGTGAAATGCCCTGCCAGTGGTGGTAGCAGAGTCAGATACATTAGAGACATTTAAGCAACTCTTGGATAGGCACATAGATGATAGGAAAACAAAGGGTATGCAGGTTAGTTTTGATCTTAGAATAGGATAATAGGTCGGCACAACATCATGGGACGAAGGGCCTGTACTGTGCTGTACTGTTCTATGTTCTATGTTCTATACAGGTGTTGGAGTAATCCTAATCTGTGTGTATGTGATGTTCATCTTGCCAGAGGGGATACAACAATGGAAGCTGTTTTCTCTGTTTGACAAATAGAAATAATAAATAGAAAGAGCTACGTTAATGTGAAAAAGATACATACGTCAGTTTGTATGGTTATTTGACTCACATTAATTTGGGAACAAGGTATCCAACCTAGACATAGAAGTTTCAGGAAAATACTGTAACAAAGCATGATAAATTTGGTGCTTGTTTTTACATGTCCTTTCTCCACAATGTTTAGGTGGTGATGGAGCAGGCTGAAGTTTGAAATCAATCCAGTTTCAGTGCAGTTCCCTAGACTAGGAGCAAGAAGGAAGGAGACTCATGGGCTAAGTGTGAGGTGGTGCCTGAACCTACTTTGGGGAAACATTGTTTGCTCTTCTCTCTCATGGAACTTGAAATAATTAAAGCCAAGCCCCATTGTGGACTTACAATATTCATTGGAAACCAAAGCGGTTTGTCCAAGATGTTTCCAGGGGCATTTATTGTGCGGTCAATGTTTGTTTAAAATAAAGTGTTAAGAAGCTTTAATAAAGTTAAGCTAATAAAAGTTTTTAAAAAACAGATTTCTTGCTGTTACTAACAAAAAGGTCAGGTTTTATTCCTTAGCATGGCCAGTCAGGATTACTGCTGATTGCAAAATCCAAGATTTTAATACTTTTTTTGTCCAAATTTGTGCCAAGGCACTAATGAGATCATCAGCCAAGTGCGACACTGATGGAAACCAAACTAAACATCAATAAGCAAGAACAAAAACAAAGTTGCTGGAAAAGCTCAGCAGGTCTGACAGCATCTGTGAAGGGAAAAACAGACTTAACGTTTCCAATCCGGTGACCCTTCCTCAGAACTGTTCTGAGGAAGGGTCATCGGACCCGAAACGTTAACTCTGTTTTTTCCTTCACAGATGCTGCCAGACCTGCTGAGCTTTTCCAGCAACTTTGTTTTTGTTCCTAATAGACTCTTGCATTATCTGTAAGCCTTGTGTCGGAGTCTATTAATTTTGGTGGTGGAGGGAGTGGGTGCCACTCAATTGGACTGCTTTATCTTGGATGTTGTCAAGCTTTTATATGTTGTTGGAACTGCACTCATCCAGGAAAGAGGGAAATGTTCCATCAGACTCCTGAATTGTGCCTTTTAGATGGCAGACAGGCTTTAGGGAGTCAGGAGGTGAGTTATTCACTGCAGAATTTCTAACCTCTGATCTCTTGGAACTACTGTATTTATATGGCTAGTTCAGTTCAGTTTCTGTTCAGTGTTAACTTCTGGGATGTTGACAGAGCAGACTTCAGTGATGGTTATCCCAATGAATGTCAAGGAGAATGATTAGATTGTCTCTAATTAAGATGATCATTGTATCCCATTTGTGTGGCATGAATGCTACTTGATAATTTTCAGCCTAGGTCTGGACATTGCCCAGATCCTGCTGCATTTGGACATGGACTTCTTCAGTATCAGAGGAGTCACAAATAGTACTGAACATTGTACAAATGAGCATTCCCTTTCCTAACCGTAAGATGGAGGCAAGATTGTTGATGAAGCAGCTGAAGATAGTTGGGTCCAGGACAATACCCTGAGGAACACCTGCAGAGATGTCCTGGAGCTGAGTTGACTGGCCTCCAACAACCACAACAATCCTCCTCTGTGTCAGGTATGACTCTAACCAGTGGAGCGTTTTTCCCCTGATTACCACTGATGCTACACTAAGTGAAATACAGCCTCCATGTCAAGAATAGTCACTCTCACTTCACCTCTGAAATTCAGCTGTTTTGTCCATGTTTGATCCAAGGCTGCAATGAGGTCAGGAGTTGAGTGGCCCTGGCAGAACCTAAAGTGAGCAGGTTATTGTTGAGCAGGTGCTGCTTGATAGCACTGTTTATGACACCTCCCGTCACTTTACTGATTATCAAGAATAGACTGGTGGGACAGTAATTGGCTGGGTTGGATTTGACCTGGTTTTTGTGTATGGGGCATACATGGGCAATTTTCTACATGTTGGGTCAAGCCATTGCAGTAGCAATACAGGAACAATGCGGCAAGAGTTGCAGCAAGTTCTGGAGCACAAATCTCCAGTACTGTTGCTAGAATGTTGTCAGAGCCCTTGTCCTTTGCAGTATCCAGTACCTGCAACTGTTTCTTGAATGCCATTTGAAGTGAATCGAATTGGCTAAAGACTAGCATCTGCAATGCTGGGGACATCTGGTCAAGGCTGAGATGGATCATCCACTTTATACTCCTGGTTGAACATTGTTGCGAATCTAACTGCCGGTTCATTGATGATAGAGACATTTGTGGAATCTCATCCTCCAGTGAATTGTTTAATTGTCACCACCATTCACAAATGGATGTGGTAGGATTGCAGAGTTAGATGTGATCTGCCAGTTGTGG